AGTGTCCTCATCAAGGGAAAAATTAAGTTATCCGACCTACTTGGCTTGTCAGTGAGCCAACACAAACTGGAAGAAGGGCAACACATGCCTTCTTCTTGCCCAAAAAGCTAAAGGATTTAGAAATGAGATTAAAGGGAACCCAGCAGAGTGAATTGCATGGAGAACTACGGGGAGCTAGTGCAAAGTCAAGTATCAGCAACACAGCACACACAACTCAAACTCATCTTCCTGTGTATAATGGGAAGCTGAAGGAGCATAATATTGGTTTTGCTATCCCTACTTGTACAATACTTGCACACTGTAAACATTTGTAAGCCATTAGCTGGACCCAGCAGAACATGCTGTAACAACAAAAGCTAGGTTTGTTACAGCAAATTCTTCCCAGAGAAAGCACAGAGAGGTGGGTGGGACAGGATCTCAGGGAGCAGCTGAGCCACCACAACGGGGCAGCTTCACAAACATCCAGACAAAGCTGTAGCAGGTGACTGTCAAATCCCTCCTGAAACAGCTCTTGAGCAAAGAGGAGCCTGCTCCCTCTCAGATACAGTGCTCAGAGCTAGGGAGCAGCCTCAAATCCAAACTACAGCTTCCTCTAAAACCTCACATAGCATCAACACTTCACTCCTCTCAGCCATTTACATATTTTGAGTATTGTTTTTAAAAGTATTTGCCTGCCTCTTGTTGATCTGAACAAAATGTTTACTCTAAACTCACACCTTTCATACGTCGTAAGACCTCTGTTATTGTCCTGTAATGAACACCTTCCCCCAACTATTTATTTTAAAATGCAGGGCCCAAAATGGACAGAGAGATACAAAGGGAAGCACTATAAAAAATTACAGCAAAGCAAATATATTTTGATCTCTTTCAGATGCTGTTAGCTCATTCAATTTGCAGTACACTATCAGCTCCATAATATTTGTCTCCTAATACTACCATTTCCCTGCCATGTATTGGTAAATTGTAAGAGTGCATATTTATCTCAAATTTTACTTCACTAATTTTCATGCTTTCTCCCAGTTTATCAAGGTGATTTTGAAACAGTATCAAATAGAGTGTATTGCTTAGAGATGGACTACAAAGCCAGTTTTACACCTACACCCTTGAACCCCAAATTATTCTTACCTGGAATTCAGAAAACAAATGGTTCTGCACGTTTATAACAACTTCAGATTAAGTCAAAACCAGCTGATTTTTGGAAAGCTCCCAAGAGTTATATACACTTTTAATTAGAAAAAAATCTAGTGGAAGAAAAAAATCATTAACACCTACATGTACAATACAGGCAAACAGCTATTTTTATTTTGTTTTCAATGAAACCCCAGGACAGAGCACTGGAATGACCGATCTGATGAAAGCACAATGTTAAACTACAAAAGCTGGGGTAACACTCTGTATTACTCCTGAAAAGATAAACCATCTAGCATGGTAAGACATAGCTCTGAAACGTGAGGTGAAGGTAATTAATCTATACCCTGCACCATTTTCCTATAGGCCCTCTTTTTTCTTCTAGCTTTCTAGTCCTTTTATTTTCTTTAATTTTTTTTCCTGCACTTTAAGAAGTGTTGGAGGGATGCAAAGCAATATTCCCCAAAACGTGTCAAGTTCATAGCTGAGTGTGCCTGTGAGGTTCATCACTGTATTTCTGTATTATTACTAAAAGAATCAAGAACATTTCAGTTGAATCCTTCTTCTCCCTCCACTCCTAAATCTTTAAGCAATAAAAATTCATAGCAAATCAGGAAGGAAAAAAAAAATACATGAAGAATCTCAAATTAGCCTTAATTAGGTGATCAAGGTCTTTCTTCAGAAGCTAGAAAAATCTGATTCTGATTTAATAACACAAGGTGATAATATTTTTACTTTGGTCTTCACATGCTCCACCTAAGCTTCTGCAACAACCACTGCCAGAGACATCACCCTGTTCCAGAACAGATTTTGTTCTGTCCTTAATAAAACCCCACCATCTTCTAAACCAGACATGCTACTAAAGAATACCACGGACTCTGCTAAATTACATGAGCAATCTGCCCCAGCTGAAGTGCTATGAGGATGCTTTTCCACCAGTCTCTTGAGGAAAAGAGAGATGAAGGAATACCTGGTCTGTAGAAATGGAAATGCAAATGAAAATCAACCTGCTCAAAACCATCAATGCTCAGTTCCAATAAGGTTTCACCTTAAAATTGGGTGTGCCAAGTACCAACAGACGATGCTATGTGCCGCCACAATTGGAAAATAACAGAGGAGTGTCCTTTAGGTCTGCATTTTGAAACTAAGCACTTATATCCCACTTGCATGTAACCTCCTCCATGGGCCCAGCCTTTAACTGGCAAAAACAATGGGGACATAAATGTCTGGCATTACAGAAATCAGTAGCAAGGGAAAGGCAAAAACAAACCACAAAAATCAATTATTTTCATGGTTTAAGAAGAAAAACTTTTTTTAATAATACAAACCTCAAATTTTACCTAATGACGTACATTCATTTCCATGATTTATACAATTATTGCATAAGATTTGTGGTCATTTACATCTTCCAGTTCAAGTGACATTAGGTAGCACAATTTTGTATTAAATTCTAGTTACACTTTCAGTCAATTACACAAGTGCGAAACAAGAGCAAGACAGGCTATTCCCTTCAGAACTCCTTCTCCACATCTGTCCAGATGTAAAGATGGCATAATGGCATACCATGAAATCAGTTGTGATTTCATGGTAATCCCACACCTATTTGTGTAGCTTTGGTAGATTGTAGTGTGATGCTGTAATGTAATGGAAAAAAAAAAATTAAAAAAAATCAACCACAAAGCCTCACAGAACCTTAAGAGGCCAGGAAAAGTAATCAAGCTTGTAGGCTGATAAGAACTGGACACTTTCTTTTTGGCAAGGTAAAGCTACTTCAAGTATTCAGAAAAGTGCAAAACAAAAATAATGTTTTTTCAGTAAAAAGGTAAAGTAAGAGTGTTTAAGTACTATCTAATAAGTCCCAATACATTGGTGACAGTGATTATACACCACGCTAGAAGGAACAGAAACTATCCTGCCATGAGGCCATACTGAACAGAACAAACTCAAAACTAGGAAAACCAAGTGCTGATGCCTTTATCAGCTTGGCATGTTGAGTGTTTTAAGTGCATGACTGAAAATAAGCGTGATGATGCCACTGAAACAGTGCAAGTAAGTTACTGGGTGGCTTAATCTGCAACAGAGATAAGAGACTGCACACAAACAAGGGCATGGCTTCAGAGGCAGGATTACAGCAGCAAAGAAAAACTGCAGGAGTAGCTCAGAACTCAGCTCACATTTGCCCTACACATATGAAAGCTACAAGATATTTTGCTCCACAGCACAAAGGAAATACAAGCAGAAAGGTAAAGAAAGACAAGGATCATTAAGTGATTTCTGAGCACTGAGAAAGGCAAAAAAAACCCACAGAAAGGCAAAAATATGGTTCTGACCTCAAAAAAACCCAAAAAACATCAGCACCATCATCCTGGGTATTTTGCTCTCTTTCATGCAAGACAGAGAGAAATGGCAAATGAAATAAAAATATGAGTAAAGGTACAGAAGATGACTATTTGGCACTTCTGAAAAATGCTTTTTAACTAGAAAAATAATCAAGGGACTTATAAATAGTAGCCAATTACCTCCCCCAATCCTTTGTCAATACAGAGATGACCACAATAATGTCTATTTTGGTGACAAGTATCTCAATGAGAAGGCAGTGCCGCAACAGGCAGTTTCATTTTTACATCTAAAAACAGTATTTGTGGTAGATTCTATTCTTCAGAGCTGCTTACTAATTATGTGGCAAGAGATTCAAGCAGAAATCAGTTTTTAGAGGAACACTAAGGGATAACAAAAAGCATGTGGACACAGCTTACTGTGAATCCTCCACTTTGGATTTGCTGAGAAACTTATTTACCTAAAAAGTTTTACCCTGGTGAAAGCTAGTGGTACACAGCATGTGGTTATTAAGCCATAAAGTGATCCTGCAATACTGGTTAGCACCTTCAATTCCCACAGGCTCAAATTAAAATTTCAACTGTTAAGCACTTTGATTATCCCATTTATCCCATTCAACCTTTTTCTTCCCCTTCCCCCTTTGAGTGGGCGACTCCATTGATCATGGTACAACATTCCAGCTAAAGATGATTCCCATTAGCTTTTTCATAGAATACAACACAGTGTAGAACATGACTTGGAAGAAAGTAAAAGGAAGAGGCTCAGAAAAGAGCAACATGAGAATATTGTCTCTGAAAGAGAGCTTAGTTTTACCACATTGAAAACCATGAGTGCAATTGCTCCAGTCCAGGTTCCAACTGCTCTCAGTGACCTGAATGGCACAATTAGCATGAACCCCCCATGGAAAGCAAAGAGAAAAAGAGGATGTGCAAATCAGGCAGTCCCTGTTACTAAGCTGGAATTGATTGTGCTCCAACATGATTAACTCCTGAAAATTTGGTAAGATATGCTGGTGTCATATTGCAATAAAAGCAGCGATACAGCTCTGACTACAAGAAGATTAAGGATTTTGTTCTGGTCTTGCCTAATCCATTCATGAATTGCAGGGCACAGTCCTTGCCACGCTTGCCTGCCAAAAAAGGCAGCTCCATCTCCTTGTGCTGAAAAAAGTAGTAGGCTTAGTGGTTATAAAGTTCACGTTTTAAAGTGCACTGTTATTTTAAAGAGACTTTCCCTAATAAAAAAAAGTAAATAAAACCTGATATCAACACCCTATAAAAATAACAGCTGCAATACTCCTTCTAAAATTGCAACTTAAAATCAAGTTAGCAGGATTCATATATTTTTCAAAAAAAAGATATGAACCCAAAATAAAAAACCATTTCTGCAGAGAATTCCCAAGCAAAACCTCACGTAGTGTCCTACAAGTCCCCGTCCTAACAGCATCTCACAGAAAATCCACTCAGTTTCTTCCAGCTGACAACCTCAAGAAAACAGAGGTCTAAATAAATCAATCCTTCCCACTAGTCACCTACATAAGTGCAGGTGTGGGTGCTGGTGCAGTTTCTCCATCAACTCCTCCTCTGTAGGTTCTTCCAAAACATCTCTACAAAGAAAAAGCATGAGCTGTTAGGTGCAGCCAAAGAGAGCTTCCCAGCATTTGTTTTTGCAATGCTCATACAGAGATGTAACGTGTGCTTGTTTCAGGAATGAAACAAGCAATTAAAATTACAATAAGCTGATGCTCCCTAAAGATGCATCTAGTTGCAAGTGATCCATCCTCTACAGATGTGTCATGGAAACCAGCAGCTGTTTTCCCATAAGAAGCAGGGAAGCAATTTCCTGTACACAGTAAAATACAACTGAAGGTCAGTAGATTTGTTTTCCTGAAAAAAACTCCCAAATGAGAACATGCTCCCAATGCTACTATTGAGTATCCAACATGCACCACAAGTTCCACTAATGCACGATCATCAAGTATTAACTCACCACCCACAATTTCATAATAAGCCAAGAACATGCATCACTTCCCTCATCTTCCCTTTTCTTCTTTCCCTTGTTTTTTCCCTCCTCTGCAGTTGTTCCCCTCACCCCCAGCACCTCCTCTCCCATCCTACCATGAGCACAAAGCATATAAAGGTTAGGCTACCATGTCAGCTTAAAGCAGGCCTAACTAACGCACTAACTGGATTTCTCCAAACTAACAGATGAAACAGTTTGCTTCAGAGGGAGGAAATAGAAGACATCTTGCAGCCAGCACACATTCTTTAAAACAGATAAAGAAAAAAAAACCAACATTGATTATCAAGTCCAGCCCATCTCACCTGAACATGAGTTCAACCGTCCTCTGGTATTCAATATCTGAAAGAGATTCGCGCTGGCAGCGACGGTCCCACTTGTGAATAAAGTTCTGAAATGTACAAGGAATAGCAAAAGATATAAAGAATTCTTCTGATGGCACCAGAAAAGGGGTTATATCTGGTCACTATGTGTGCAGATAAGGTTTGGGAGGCGGAGAGGTTTGATTTTACATGGAGAACACTGATTTATTTAGGCATCAGCTTATTTACTGGCTGCAGGTCACTACTTTACACCTTTGTTCAGCAGTGAAGTAACTTTCTCATCACAAACTGAAAGAAGAGCAGAGCAGAAGACAGCCCTGCTACCTTCAGCTCCTAGCAAGGACTGCCTCCCCAAGACAACCGTGTGAACTACCAACAAGATTTCACCCGATTTGAATTTCTTCATCTTTAAAAACCCAGCAACATATAAACATACTGCTTGTCCAGTTTTTGCCATGTTCCCTTACCCATTTTGAATAACTCTGGCAGATGAATACCTAGGGATTATACACACAGCTCAGGAAAAAAAAATAAAAAAAGGAGAAAAATAGTGACACCCTGCTCTCCTGCTATGGAATGTTGCATTTGGCCACAGCCCTGCAGAAAGAAGCAGGTAGAAGATGTCCTAGACCAAAAGTTTGCCCTTCTTCCTACTGTAGTAAATTTTAATACTCAGTACACTCAGCAATGTCAAGAACATGTCCAAAAGAAACTTTCACAGGGTTTGAGATGGGTGAAGTGCCCTCTACAGGCTCTCAGTTCCCTCCACTATCTATAGGAGAAGTCTACAATGGTGAACCTGGAGGAGATGGTTATGATTAGCATTCCCTTCTCCATCAGAAATTTGGATTTGCAGAAAAGTATGCCATGGGTAATTAGCAGAACCACACGTTCTTTATGGCATTGCTCAGGCAACTGCACTCCCAGTTTCTCTGAAAAACTCTAGAATATGATCTCTTGAAAATAAGTAATAGTTCCACTTCTCTGGAGTAGCACTGAACAATGATGGTAATTCAAACTGGGGTGGGAAGAAACACAAGAGAACCAAATTTAAATTGCTCATTTCAGTTGCTGACAAATTAAAATGCAGAAAAGCCTGCAGCTTGAATAACTAATGTTGAATTTAAATGGTAATGTATAAGAGACGAGCAATTTTATAACACTTTAAGTATATCTCATCTTTATAATAAGGAGAGTATTACAATGAAATTGTACATACCCAATGAGATACAACCAGTTTTGTGACAAAATTGCAAATAAAACATACAATTCTCCAGAAAAAAAAAAACAATTCCTCAGCTCCTCGGGCATAGGGCAGCAAGAAAGGTAAAGTAAGCACACACACAAACCAAAGTTTTCTGGGTTCTTTTCATTTCCTGCACAAATTAGAACCCATTTTCAGGATCTCACACCAAAAAAACACACTTCCTTACCTCCAGAAGTAAAGCTACGAAGAGATTAACCCAGATGACAGAGGAGATCAACCACCAGGCTACAAAATAGATCTTTGACCACCTGCAGATCAGATGAACAGACAATACATAAAGGAGGCAGTAAGTAACTTCAGCCTGAGCAGAGCACCATGAAATCACTTTTTTTTTTTCCTTCTAATATAATACTACTACTTTCTTAATGGAAAAGGGGGCCTGAATCAAAAAATTAAAAATAAAAAATGTTTGCTTTTCATTAAGTTAGCTGAACAGACTCACTCTTCTGGGTTAACCAGCCAAGGGTCACTGGAACAGCTCAACCCAGTTCATTCAAACATTCCCCATGAAGTCAGTAAATACAAATGAAAATTATGTCCAGGGTTTTAGGTCAAGAAAAAATTCTTCATCCACACAGAAAACACAGAAGCATTAGATTTATTTCCTATATATCAAAATTGGTCCAAAAGAAAGGTAAGCAGCACCCTTCTGAGCAGATGGTAGGAACTGTGCTATGTGTATACTTCTTGTTCAAGTACACTATAAACTGGATTTATATGGGACTTCATCAGTATTACTACAGATATAAAAGTACTTACGGACTTGAATATCTTGAAAATGCATCCAAAAAGACTTGCCAGTTGTTCACCACCATCACATCCCAGAGGGTCACCAGTGCTGCCTAAATAACAGGAGTAGAACAGCGTTTAAGTGGCTGTACCACAGATCCAAGCCTCAGAAAATGAGGAGGAAAGACAAGCAGAGAGGGGAAGGAGGGATTTAATCCATGATCAGACTCACAGCAAAGTCATCGAAGTTGTTGGGCCAATATTCCAGTTGTTCATAGGTCCCACACTGCAGAGTGCCATTATCATGTGTGCTGTTGGCAGCACTGCAAGATATTACAGGCTAATGTGAGCACAGCTCCCTGTGAACTCTGCTTTAGAATTCCTCTGAGCCCCTTGTAGGAAGTTAGATTATCTCATATGGGCAGAAAACAAGGGAAACAGTTCAAAAACATATTTCAGATAAAGAAGGGTAAAACCCCAAGCTAAGATAAGCATTCCTGCAATTTCAATGCAGCAAGAAGAAACAGAAAGAGTAATAGATAACGAAGCTGTATGATTTAACATTAAAAGTAGGGTGGCTCCAAGAATGAAAGAGGAAAAAACCCAACAAAACTAACCACAAACAGCTCAAAGGTAAAAAGGTGCAAATGCTTTTGAAAAACAGATTCTTTCTGAGCAGTGATAGTTAGAATCTTACCTGGTATCTCCCAAGGAAACAACAGCACCTTTAAATAGCATTATTCCAGTTATAGCAAATGCATAGAAAACCACCTGGAAGGAATACAACCAACTATGAGCTTTGAATATTTCTGCCACAAAATAAGAAAGCAAAACACAATTAACACAGAATTTATATTAGTACTACAGTTGGGGTAATTGCATCAAGAACAGTGCCTGAAGCTTTTAAAGTGAAAATACTTCTCAACTGCTTGCTCTTTTTAATAATCTACCTAATTTTCAGTTATTAAAATGCATTACTTTTATCATCTATTTTACTTCTCTATGTCTCAGAATGCTGATATTTAACCACAAATATAGCAGAATAGCAACTTAAAATCAAAGCTCAGTACCAGTCTTTACAAAGAACAACCCAAATATCTGAGTTTTCTGCCAGAGTCAATGAAAATAAACTTTTAGTATGTTTACCTTACTAAAGACAAAACTATGTCATTATTTTATATTCTATCAGCAACTTCCTTTAAAATGCTAATTAGTCTAAAAATAAAGTTTTGAATAACACAAAGGATTTGGGAACTTCTGTCTTCTAATTGTTAGAAATGCAAACTTCTTTTTAAAGAGACACTTTTCAGTCTTTAGCCATTGCACAGGCAATACTGCAATTTTATCCTAAAAAGATTATTCTAGAAATAACCCACAGTTTTGCTTTGCTTCTCTGAGAAGGAGCCATTTATCGCAGGAAAGCTTGAAGCAAGCTGAGTCTTCAAACAAAAGGTCTGGTGTGGGGTTTTTTTTGTTTGTTGGTTTTGGCTTTTTTTGTATTTTGCTACAAAACAAACCTAGGAATGGGAAGTCCGGAAGGAATAGAAGAGAGCTGTCCTGGCCTACAAACTCTGAACACCACTGGAGTAAGCTGAAGCTGACATTTCACAGCCTGCCAGAAGATGGGGTATCTGGCTTGGCAATAAAATTAATTTTATTCTTTGAAAAAAGATGTATTTAAAACACTCACTGCCTGAGAAATTGACTAATCAGTTACATTATTTTATCTGCATATGTGTTCCAGGCTAACATTAGGAAAGATATTTTGCATTAGCTGGCAATGGAGTCAGATTTCACTACAGCAGAAGCCCAGTGAGAGCTTCCGTGTAATCTCAAGTAAAAGCAAATTGAATTAATGGAAGAGGCAAACACTGTGGCAGACGTGTCTCAGAAGTGTGAGTTGTACAGCACAACAAGGTTTTTACGACCTTAGATTTGGCCCAACCAATATCTTTATTTCAAAGTACAACACAAGCCCATTTAAGGCCTATCCTCTACAGATAAAAGCAGAGATTATTAATGACAAAAATAAATATTCTGGGTAAATTGCATACCAGGTATATAGACTAGAAAAACAAATCATTATCTTTAATCATTCAAATTAAGGTACCCTACACAAGCCCAAGAACAATAGCAAAACCAAACCTACCCAGGCACTGCTTTGCCCTACCAGGTAGACTCGGTTGCAAAGCCAGGAACTCAAGAGTTGGGAGAATTTATGTAATGGACATCACACATTGTGATCCACCCTTAAATCACATTTGTTGAGTCTATGTTCTACACAGACATGCCTAAAACAGGATGGCAGAGGTTCTTAAAAAATCATGTCCACACACACCATCTCAAGACCTTCTCAGCCAAAACCAATTTTAAAGTTATTTTGCTATTATAATTTAACATATGCAAACCAGGGAAAGGAAAACTGGTCTACTTTTAGCATTGATTAGTTTTTAATTTGAATCCACACTACCCAAGTTAAGGCAGACACTCAAAGGAAGCTTTAATTAATCTTTTAAAGATACTCCTCCTGAAGGAGGCACTGCCACTCCTGTGCTGGCCATCACAAACCAGCAGTTCATTGCAGTTTTCCAAGACATGCCCTGGAGAAGAACTGGCTGGTTAAGGTGAAATGTTACTGCTCGTGGTGATTGTACAAGAACCTTGTTAACTTTGTTGGTGACATACCCTTACTAAACTATAACAAAGGAAATTACAATCTTGCATCATGACTTACCAAAAGGATTCCTGCAAAGGCTCTTAAGTTTTTCACCAAATCCAGCAGTGTAGTAACAACCAAAGACATGAACTAAAACAAAGCAGAATTTTGTACCTATGAAATTCATAACACTTCCAATCCGTATCAACTTTTTACTAAAAGGACAAGAGAACTTGAGCTGGTTTTCTCTGGTGAGGGAGCAGGCAAGAGTAAGTGATTTTGTGAGGGGCTATGCAAAAGTCAAGACAGAGCTGAGCTATACACTCTTGAATGTACAAGAGAATTGCAACCTACTGTCACTATAAGACACAAGAAAACATGACGCACGTGTTACAGAATTTCTGAGAGAGAGAGAGAGCATGATTTATGTCTGGAGTGAGAACTGAGCTACCCAGTCAGACTAGGCCCTGATAAGCGGCCTTGATGGGGCCTTGAAGCCTTTGATGCAGTGAGAATTCAGTTGTGGCACAGTTAGAAATTATGTTAAGGTAACTACAAAGTAATCAGCTATTCGAGCGTAAATTAGAGTAGAGCTGCAGTGTGAAAAGCCTGACCACCTTACGGCAAAGGTAAACAATGTTAGTGTGCCAATCAGAATGCCTTTGTAAACTGTAAACTATATAGAAGTGTATAAAAACTGCGATCTTCTCACTAATAAAGGGGAGAAGGTTGCATTGGTTGGATGTGCATTCTGTCCTGTCCAGTTTTCCCGATTTATGAGGTCCCTGGCTTTGCGCATGCCTATGCTCTCGTGAAAATAAAAAGGGGAGTTTATTTTCGGACCCAAACATTTATAGTTTTCTAAAGGTGACAGTGGTTTGGAGGGTGAAAGTGCCACCTCTCCAACGACACTGGACAAACTACCAGTCCATCAAATTTCTCCTCCTCTATGAAGGAATGCAAAACAATAAGTTATTTACAGAAAGTTGTGTGAGAAAGTTTGCTACAAGAATATAAACTCAGAAGGCTTTAGAAAATCTTAAAAATTGAGAGCAACAACCTACCCTGAAAGGCTCTAACAAAATTTATAGCTTGACCAAGAAAGAAGTGCAAGTTGTGGAGGGAAGAGCAATCACCTTCATGTTGGGGATAATCCGCAGGAACCTGAAGACAATTAACATGTTCACCAGCCGCACCATATCCCACAGGGACAACAAGCCCATGAACTCGGGCCTCCTAGGAAAGACAGAAAAAGTAACAAATCAGAGGAACAGCCCATGACAGAACAACACAGTTAAATCTACTGGGCTACAGGTAAATACATTGATTTACTTAGCAGGAATCTCAGCTACAGTAAACTAATAACTGATGAAGGAAGGAATCCCTTTAGCTTGGCCTCTTAAATATGTACAGAGAGCTCTTTGAAGTGCACATTTGTGCCTTCTGCTGGGGAGGAGGCACCAAAGAGGGTCCTTTCAGAAAACAAAGTGAATCAAAAGAACTTCTAGAGGGAGGTGTCGGAACCCCAGCCTGGTTCAGGGGTTCCGTGTGGTGGTAAAGTCTCTCCTCCAACCCGTGCTTCCAAAGAAAACTCAGCAGCCTCTTGTTCTTCAGTCTCAAGTAGTTTACTGTAAGCTATTTAAAAGATTGTCTTCTCTGGCTACTGTGGTTTGGTCAGTAGCTCAGGCAGAGGCACACACACCCCTGACACCCCCTCTTGTCTGCTGTCTGCTTCTTCTCTCTCCCCGCCCATGGCTGCTGCTATTTTTTACATGATACATTACATGTTATATGTTTACAGTTTTTCCCCAATACCTACTACCTATATTAAATGGTGCTTTCCTATTCTAAACCAATCCATAAGTGCCAACATCATCAAGAACATGGAGGCAAGGAAGAAGAAAGAGGAGGAACAGGACCGGCCTACATTCCTCCATCTTAAAACCTCTGACCCCCATGTACAAAGTAAAAACCCCCCTATATAGGTGTTAAAACCCCCTTGTACAATACTAAAAAATTCTTCCCTCTACTTTGTAACTACTTCTACTATAATATTTAAACTTTTGTGACTTCTTGTTCTACCTGCAAAGTTGGTAAATCATTCCATGGCTCAAACTCAAAATCACAGCTGTTTCCAGCTGCCTGCCAGGGTCTCAAATGCTTCTGACCAGGGCCTGGAACCTCCAAAAATGCCTGAGGGACATTTTGAGTTCCAACAGGGAGATACTTCAGGAACTTGCACAAAGATGAGCATTAATCCTTCAGGATATGCCTGGCTGAAAAAGGGGTTTGAAAACAGCGCGAGGTTTAAGGACTGTCTTGTCAACCTTCTTCCTTATGTGTTAACATTCCACAGGACATGGGCATACACTTCAAAACCCAGCCCTGAATTCTGGCTTTTACATGAGCATGCTGAATGCTTCTTGGCTGGAAAGGAGGGCAGGTGGTGGGGATCTAAAGCTGTCAATGACTTGGTAACACTGATGCTAAATTGTGATTTTTACCTCCAATATATTCATCCCCAGTCATGAAAGAAATTATCTAAGATAACACTGCATAGAAGGCACAGTCTAGATAACAGCAACATCATTGTCCCGCTTGGTCTGTGGATGTGACAGCAGCACACATCAGGACTCAAGAGTGACTCATCTGGGTTGTAACCTGCTTGCAGTGACTGACACAAAGACCTAACAAAAATTACTGGTGCTCCAAGATCATAGAGCAAGCAATTGCCTACATTTAAGAATCAAAGGGCAGAATCAAACACAAACATAATAACATAACATAATTAAGTCTGTAGCAATTACTCTTCTGGCAACTATCACTTCTAGGTGATAGGAATACAAGGAGTATTCAAATATAAACCCTTCTAAAACCATAAGGTCTGACTTGTTTAACTCTCTTCAGAGTTTCTAGTGTAAATTCAGAGAACTTCTTGATGGCAACAAAACAAATATCCTGAAAAATCAGGGAGTGCCAGTGTCTTAAGCGTCAGCTTGCATGAAGAAACAAAGTAACAGAATGTGTTATGAATCACTTGTGAAGATTCAGGAAATCTTCCAGAATTCCTTTGCTTTCCTCTCTTCTTGTGGAGACACTTTTTAAATCTTAAGCAATGATTTTTATGTTTTTTACAACAAAAAAGAAATCAGGATAGTTATCCAAAAGCTGTTTGAACTTAAGAAAATAAAAAAAAAAACAAACAACTGCTTGCTATTACAACACCAACAAATAGTGTTAAGTCCATGGGAATTTTCTTACTATATTTTACAGCATGAGAAAAACCTCAGCCTTTAATCTACATTTAATGTACTAATCAGCTGTTTGGGAGTTCATATAACTGGATTTATGTACAATCTGATACTGAAATCTGATATCAGGTTGTCTATGCGGTACCAAATTCCCACTCCTACATCCCTGGTAAGCACACACCTGCCAATATATTATTTTAAATCAGATTACAATTTAAACAAATGCATCCTTCTTGGAAGAGCTACACAGAACTCTGAAACACTAGGAAAAAAGAAAAATTCTTTCACTTACCCACATTGCATGGTCTCTTATGACTATAAGGGTGCAAAATTCTACCAAATTTGGTAAATTAAAGACTGGGCTGACAATCACAACATCATGACGTGTATATGATAATGTGTGTGTTCCTCCCCCAGCCACTGAGCAAAGGGCAGCAGGTCACAGAGGTTACTCACCAGCCAGGGTGAGGAAATCCATACACAGCAAAAGTTGCAATCTCCAGAATCTTCAGTTAGGAAAGAAAAACCAAAACAAAAAAGGTCAAAACTTTACTTTATAAATCTGTGTTCCAGAAATCATTTAAGTTTCTTGACAAGAAACATTTTCAAGGGCTTTAAGCCACTAACTGAACTCACTTTAAAGCTCTGAATTATCATATTTGCCTAGTTATTCTCCAAACTGACCAAATGTACATAGGGCATCTAATAGTGACTCATAAAAGGATATATAGTGAATACCATTAACCATGAATTTGACCTAATCTGCCACAGGGGTGTCAGGGTTTGACCAAATAATTATTATAATAGTCTGACAATTTTTTTTTTTTAATTTAAAGAAAAAAAAATGGTTTTGAACTATGAAACAGAATGCCTCATGCAATTATTCCAGAAGCTGGATTTTTACCAAATAAAATTTAAAAGGTTTCTTATCAGAAAATCACCTTTTCCATGGATTTAAATAAGCCTATCTTCAGAACACAGACCCCAAGAGAATCATGTGCTACCATGTAAACTTTCCAGCCACAGAAACCCACGACACTGGCTCATGCTGTTCAGCTCAGCAGATCAGTGTTGAAAAAAAGCAATCCCACCAGCTCCTGTAGTTCCCTAACTTCCCTAGCCAATAAATCCAAGAATGTGTAAGCTAACAAAGCACTTACCAGTAAAATTACAGTCAGAAGTCCATCAAATCTATTGCTTGGGTAAGACAAGTATCTTTTCAAGCCCATTGCTAAGATTTTCAGCAACATTTCCAGCAGATAGTACAGGATGAAGAAGCAGTTGATAGCCTTCACCCCCCCAAAAAAAAACAACCATTAGAATTCCTGACATCTCAAGGAACAGCAATAACTGCATGGAATATTGTTCTATCTTACCCCCAGGAAGAAGTCATCTCTTTCAGATGGCTGCTTATCTGCATCCATCACCAAAACCACCTTAAACAAAAAATATTTTATCAATGTTTAATGTAGCTTTACTGCTACATTAAACAGATTTTTAAGCGTAAGAATAGTCTTTTATGTTTTGTACAGAGCTTTTCAAACAGCTCAAAATACCTTTTTAACTACAAATATTCCCTCTTAACATTTCGCATGACTAAAGCATGCCAAAAACCCAACTGCTAGAAAAAGCAGTTATTTAAAGAAAATTAAAGAACAAAAGCAGAAATTAAATTCAGCAGAGAAAAAACAAAAAACAATGACAAAAAGAAAAAGAAAGAAAACCACTGCCCCACAACAAAAAAAACCTTTACTTACACAAATAGAAATAATGTTTGCCAGGGCTATCACATTCCCCAAGTAGCCAAAGTAGGGATGGCCAAAGGCAAACTGCATTTTCTGCATAAAATGGGATTGGTACTCTGGACTGGGAGGGTGCTGAAAAGAACAAAAAGGATTTGCTGAGTTACAAAGCATAAGCATTTTTAAAATAATACAATAATTTTAAAAACACACCCCATCTCAAATTTAAAAAACCCCAGACAGTTTCAAAGCAAATCTTCAGGGCCACAGGCTAATTTTGACATTTCATCAGGAAAATGTTTTCCAGCTGCAGCTATTAACAGCAAGAGACCATTTCCATGGCACAACACAAGGGAACGGCAAAGAAGGAAGATAATCCAACCTCTCTCCAATGCCCCAAGCAGATAACTAAACACCAAGCTACTATTTGTATACATCCCTTCCCCATTTCCCAACATTTAATTCACAAGTTTTAGATACATGCAAACATAAAACAGCCTTTAATTTTTTTTTCTTTCTTCAAGTCGAGAAAACTGCTTTCTGCCTATTTTCATCTGAACACTGAGAGAATCCACATTTTGTTCTTCATTCAGGGATTGGAGGAAAAAGACTTTGAGCTATTTTGCCTGAATACCTCACTTTCAAATGCTGAAAGAATAAACAAAGATGTATTTTGTACACTTAACATCACCTGGCAATCCAAAACTAATGCTGTAGAAATCCCCAGAGCAATTTTGTCTGTGGCTATAAAAGCTGCTCACAAAAAGCTTAAAATTCAATGCCATGTGATCACACCTTGTGCTCACATGTTGCAAAGTTTGTTTATATACATTATATTAGAGTACTCTCACTTATTTTTGCACAGAAAACTTCCGATGCTTTATAAATGATGATCACATACATACTTGCTTAATGGCATCTTTGTCTAGTTCTTCAAAGAGCTTCTGGAACTGGGCAGCTGACAGCTGGTCACAGGAGCACATTTTGAGTGACTTCACATGAAAGAGAAACATTCAGATCAACATCTGCAATAGGAACATCTGCAAAGTTTGCCAAAACCCCTCAGACTACCTTGGAAATCTAGGAATAAAGATGTAATTCAAGCTGTTGGAGTAAGATTCAATATTGCTCTGCTTTAACATGACACTGCCAAGTGACTGGAGGACATGTCTGGCCTTTTCTATTTTCCCTCTCTGGGATCACATGCTCTTTTGACTAACTTAAATTTTAGTCCTATGTAGTACTGCCGCTATTCTCTTATGATCCAAGGAATGCTGCAACAGAGAGCAGATCTCTGGATTTGCTGGTCAGGACTGACAGTCACCAACATAAAGGCTAAGAAAATTCAGTTCTTACTCTCATGATGGCTTGCTTGCAGTGAGAATCCATCTCAGCTTTCTGCAGCACCTGTAGTAAGGCCCCACCACTGACACAGGACCTATTTAAATGAAAACAGAATGGGCCCTGATACAGATAACTTCATAGATGGCAAATTGAACTGTTCCAAATGTGTTCCCGACTCTTTCTTGTTTTGAAAAGCAAATTAAACTAGAAGTAGGAAAAAAGTAAACAGACCCCATAAGCATCACAAACAGTGTGTTAAGAACATCCAGTTACAGAAAAAATAAATAAATGAGATTAACAACAAACTGCCATTTTTGAGAATGGAACATCAGTAAATATATTAAAACAAAACAAGATGACCAAAATCTATTTTTTTTTTTTTTACTAGATAATCTACTGTTTCAAGATCCTCCACTTACTGTTGTGCACTAGCAGGAGTCTCTTTCAGGGAAGACAGCACCTCAAACGCAGCCCGGATTCCCAGCCGCCTCCTGAAGAGGGAGGACTGAACTGATTTCTGAGCAGTAAAAACACCACAGAGGAAACAATTTACTCACACTTCAGGCACTACTGTGTCCTATGGCTAAATAATATACTGATCCTTGGGCATACATCCCAAATTTGTGATTAGAGATCAGAACAGGAGACTGCCCTAGGCCTCACTCCTTCCAAGAACACCGTGTACAAGGAGGAAGGAAGCAAGTAAGCAAACAAGTCCCTGGGATTCAAGTAAACATGCAGGTTATGGTTTATTTTCAATTCTGGAGTGCACAGGCATATGCCCCTTCCAGAGACACTGCAACAGCAAAGCTTAAGCACTCACAGAAATTCATACTAGCATGCAGAGAGAAGAGTTAGAGAACTTGTCCTACTCCAGCTTCTTGCCTAAAAGCACAAATCCAGAGCTATGCTTATTCATGGGTTTTTTAATTACAGTAATCACTTTCAAACTCAGTTACTTTATTAGTAGCCAGATTATGTCATGCTGTCATGTAAGAAAGAAGAAAATTGAGCAAGAAGGGATGAAACAGAGGAGGAGGAAAGGATTACCAAAAATCCTTTCTGCACCCATTCTGTTTACGCACTCTGCCACAAGAAGGTGGGGGCCATTCATTCTGAGTAATATTGCTTTGGGCTTATTATTCCAACAAACTTCACCTTCTCTCGGGAACTCTACTAGAAAAGCTACTGGGCCAGTCTGGGTAAGGTCCCTTCCCATCCCTTAATATTCTATGATCTACAACAACAGCTATATAAACAGCACAGCAGATTTCCTTCAGACAGTTTAAGTTACTCAGCCACTTGTCCTTGTTCAGTCATACAACAATAATCAAAATTGCAGATCCACAGCATTCTTGGAAATATGCAAGAAGATAATTTTGTGACCAGAGGGGATCAAGTTGTAACAGCACATAAAGGGAGAAGTATCTGCACCAAAGAACATTTAGTACCTTAAAACTGTATCTGCAATCAGAGTGGGAGGGCTCCTTTAATACAGAGATGAAACTTAATTATTCAAAGGTTCAAGGTTATGGCAGAACACAGAAATTAGGATTGCTTTACTCACCAGAAGATACCCTCGAAACTGGTTGTATATTATTGCTGTAAGCAAATTCATCAAAAACAAGTTGCCTATTGGAGAAAAAGAGGCAGTAAAATTCACTGAAAAATATCTGTCTATCAAAGAAGTTTCAATGTATGCAGTAAATCAAATGCAAAACTTAAAGAGGGTTAGTTTTCTTGTGTTTGATTTCCAAAATGTTTTCAATGTTTTAGTATACTGTAATGTCTCCACTCCCCTGTGACATGCTACCAAGAAATTCCAAACCATAAGTACTTTCCATGAAAATGATCTCACAGACACTTTGCAATAACTGGAAGAATCACAAAAGTGAGGAATTCATGACTAAACTTTCATAGAAAAATAAAACACTGTAGATGGTATGCACAAGTGTCAAAGTTGAAGTGCACTGAAGACAAGAGGTAACTTACCTAATACAGTGAAGAGAATGAAGAAGATTGAATATGCTCGATTCTTAGAATATGCAGGCATCATCACTGTAACAAATTTAACAAAAATAGGAAATAATATTTTAATGCTTGAGATGCACAGTAGAGACCTTTATGAACTTTTGGTAATTGGTAAAAGCTCTCATACAGCTGGATTTTAGAGTGGCATATATAATTATACCACAGAAAGGCAAGAATCAAGTTACTAAAGGCATGAAAAACCTTTACACAAACTTCCTCTGGCTGTACTAAGAACCAGCAGCTGAAAGAATGGTTACAGTAGTCTGAACAGAGCAATATTACTCTGTTGTTCTTCAAAAAGAGAGACAAGAGTTATTTCTGAAAGACTGCTCACCATCAGGATTATTTGCAGTAGTCAGCAGGACCAGCAATGACGTCAGGGAATCCGGCAAATTCCGGAAATACACCACCCACTCCTTATCCTGCTGGTTATCCTGGGCAAAGATGTGTTCATTGTTAAGATAAATACCAAGGAAGGGGGACAAAAATTTTAATTTTTTTTTTTTAATAATTAACATCAGTCAACAATTTCTTACACACAAGAAATCAAATCTTAATCAAATCTACCCCATGGAAAAAGCAAAAGCCAAATGTAAAAATTAAAAAAATAGGTATGAATACAGAGCAATCACATCACTTATTAATAACAATTTAAAAACACAAGTAAGAACAGGAAGGTCTACATGAAGTTATGTCTTTTTAGCACCTCAGACGCCAGAAGAACAATCATGCCACAATCTGACAATATGGGACTCAGAACCTTCATCAAAAACACACTGGGAGGCTGATCTTGGATCCTTGAATCCTCCACATACTTTTTGCTTCTGGAGGTCAAGGAGAGACAGATAAAAAAAGATGCAGAGTGCAAACAACACAAACATGAGTCAGGCAGCATAGGACAAATAGCTCTTTAATCTGCTGCAAAGACTGGGATATGTAACCCTAGAGGACATATACAAGGAAATGCAAAGAGTCATGAATTTCATTATTAAAACCTACTTTTAGAACTTGCCTGCAGTATTTTGCCATGTTAGATAAAATTAGTTTGTATAGATGTCAGAGCAGCACACCAAAATAGGAAAGGTCACTCTTTAATTTGTTATTTTTTACCTCAATGTACACACAAGTGATTGGTTTAGGTATACAAGTTATAAATATACATCTGCTGGGAAAGCTCATAGCTGAAATTAGATGTGACAAACAGAGATAATACAAAGGTCCAGAAGACAACTAACAGTGGGAAAACTGCTTTTTAACAGTGGGAAAAGACCTCTGCTTCTAATTCCAAAGGTTCTGTATCATGGGAATTCAGGGAATTTGCAGATCATGAGGAAGACTAGAAGCTGACTCAAGTACAAATTACAGCAGAAATGAAGGTGCAAAACAGAGATTAAGGACGGTACCAAAATTACTGGGAGAAGTATGCAAGAAATTTTTGTGTTTACAGTAACATATTTATGGAAGGCCTTACAAAGTAAGAATGAAAAAAACCCAAATAATCTGAGTGTGATAAATTAAGATATAGGAAGTCTAGAAAAGAAAGCATATATCAAGATTACCGGAACACAAAAATTATTTTAACCACAAAATTTCAATTTTGCTTTTCAGAAACAGGAAGAGAAAAACAAGAGGAAAACCCAAAGGGATCAGAAACCAAAACTAGTAGAGGCAAAAATCTACCAGGGTATGGCCTGGTAGGAATACCAGTACTGAAAGATGAGAAAACACAGAAGAAACTAAAGTTAGGAAAAAGCTAGATAGAGAAGATAAAAAAATAAATTAGTGATAATATAAACGAAAGAGTGATAAGAGCTTTGGAGACAGAACAGCACAGAGAATTTCAACAAAAGCAGAGAAAGTAACTCAAGGGATCAAACTGCGTAAATGTATAAGGAAGTCTCCTGCATACATGATACTATGCACATGTTAGAGCTCTCCAAATGGACTTCAAACTCAGCACGTCTGACAACATGACCTTTTTCAGGGAAAACAAATTTCACTAGTTTGACTATAAAACTAGACAAGAAGCAGCTGTGCAAGTACAGAAAAAAGGCACCCAGAGCTACCAAAGAAGCCAGAGAATTGATTACCTTTGTTCGAACAAAGAGCAGCATGGCAAACATGGTGAAGAGAGCCAGATGAACAGCCAGTAGTAGAAAAACACTGTTGGAAAGGAAATATATCATAAGTATTAACAGTAACTTTATCTTATTCTTAATATCCTGTACTGAAAATGTAAAATTATGCCATATAAAGAAAACCAGCAGTGTTTTTAAGAAGTTATATGGAGATTACAGGAGGAGATGGGGGTTTTGGTACAAAATAAAAATCACACTTATGTGCCTCATTTCTTCCCTTACAAAAGGGCTTAGAAAAGCAGAATCAAAACCTCCCACTCAACTAGCGTTAAAAAACCTATGTCACACACAAAGTGTGTCAAAGTCTAGAGATCCCGTACAGACCAAGGGGAATCAAAAAGTTACCACAATCTTCACCCTCAATGACCTGATCTCACTGAGCACTTAGCTACCCAATCCAGAAGGAAGCTGCTCAGATGCCCCACACCGGAACCCAAAGGATAACAACCTGCCTGCTACTAGCCATCCTGTGAAAGGATGTTTTTTGTGCTATAACCCACCTCATCATTTCAGGCAATGTGCTGTTGATACTTTTTAACGTTTTCTTCATCATAGAAGAATTCTGGAGGAGAAAGAACGGGCGAAGGATTCTTCTTATTCTCACACTCTGCAAAAAACAACAGATCAGACATTGAATTCCTGCAAGACTGGCAGCTCAAATACTTTGAATGCAAGTTTGTCAGAAAGCACTGGATACACACATCAACTAATCCAACAGTGGAACAGAAAAAGAACTGAGCTCTTCTCTCCTGAGCTCACAAAACACCAAAAAAGATTCCACACCTCATTAAAATGAGGAGAGATTGCTTTAAAAACACACATCGACATTTCAATAGTCTCATCAGGCCACTAATTGGAAACAATCTAACTTTACTGCCCAGCAGATGTAACAATCTGGCAAGAGATGGCATTTCTGTATATTCTGTCAAACTCCATTTCAAGAAAGGGATTAATAGAGAGCTACTTCCCATAAAAACAAATGTATATTCTAAAAAGAAGTGCTTAACTTCTATTTTCAGACTGCTTTATAACTAAAGGGCCTGCTAATTACTTAGCAATTTCTGTCTCTGACAAGACTCAAGCTGTAAGTGCTTTTTTCCCCCATACCACTGCAGTAAATCATCTTTTTGATTCTTGCAGTCAAGACATTTGCAAGGGAGAGTACAGTATTACATTAAGGAGGGCTCTTCTTGAACCTTTTCCAAGCCCGATGCTCCTCGCAGGACACAACTGTTTTGAACACAGCACACCTCACCTTCAGGTTAGAAAGCAGATGTTAAACTACCTGATTACCTTTTTCTTATACTTTACTACAGAAGCTTTGCCATTCAGTCAAGTTAAGCACATAATTCTCCAATTGCATAACAAAATTGGTGCCAGGCAATGAATTTTCCCTGCTCTCTTCAACTGCTGACAAACTAAAGCCATGAGTGCTATTTAATTTTACCAACAAACACAAAATTTACATTAAGAATCAAACAGAATTCTTTGCTGAGCTACATTACGCCAAACGTTTTCTGTGCTTCAGTGAATTATCCAGCTATGAAAGACCAAAGTAAAGCTGTTCTTACCTCTTTGCAGAAAAAACTCAGTGACACAATCCAATCAGCGAGGGAAACAATTAATGTCAGTATATAAGCCATTAGCCATTTATTTTTCCAAAATTCTTTCCATCCAATTAAGTAAGTCTGGACAAGGGGAAAAAAAAGAACAACAATAACTTACTTTAATAATAAAATCCAATACCCTAATGAGTCAGCACCAATTTTTTTCCAAGTATCTGCAATTATAAATTAGTGCTCTTAAAAAGCTCTCCAAAACCCAAACAAAAATACATTGTTGAGAGATTTTTTTTCTACAAGAACTAAATAAAGATCAGCAAAAGTAAAAGGTGTACAAAGGCCACATGAGAGAAATCCTTTGCATGCAAGAAAATTCTTCACTTAATAAACATAAAAAAGGGATTTCCAGAAATAAGTATCCAAAGAAAGGTCAGTTTCTAACAACTTTTATTTTGTGTAAATGAACTGACACATATTTGTTATATACCCTGTTTTTATAGCCTAATACAAGCAGCTAAGCCAAAATGCTTGCACTCTCCGTAAAATTTAGTTCACTCACTTAGGAAAATTAAGTTTAAAAAAATGGAATACAAATCTTAAGTAAATATACACTTGCTAATTTCTCCTGAAATGAGACTCTAATAAAGCAAGGCAATTTTGTCCTGCAAACTCAAGATCTGAAAAACAATTCTACCACACACCTACTGCTTCATTCAGTACCAGATGAAGGAGATGCTCACCTTCACAGATACATCAACCATGAACACCAGGAAGCACAGCAGCTCCATGCTCTCCGTGAGGCCACAGGGAGGATTCCAGCTCGGAAGGCGGTACCGCACATCCGACGTGACAGTGAGTGAGGAAGGCTCTTCAATGAAAGCCAAAGCCAAGATTACAGTAATGGTTAAATTCAAAATCCTGTTTGGACAGAGATTAAATCAAAAATAAAACCAACAAAACCATTTAAAAAAGGTACAAAAAACCACTACCCCAAAACAAGCCCCATAAAATAGCCATGAAATGAGTCAAAATAATAACAAAATATTTACAATAAAGCAATTTTCTTTGAAGTAAACCATGCTTTCTGAGACCATATTTCACTCAAATGGGTTAGACCAGAAGGCAGCACTTGATTAGCATGTTGTTGCTTGCACTGGAGATGTAACTGCTGACCACCAAATAACCTGAGGTGGTGTCCTTTTGAAACTAACAGCAGCAAACAATCTTGCTGGTATCCAACATGTTTAGAAACAGACACTTTAAAAACTCTTAAGGCACAGTGCTTTAAATCATGCTAATTAGTCCACTCATGCAACAGTCCTGTGGCTGTTTGCAAACAGCCATCTACGTCATCATACGTCCATAAAATTTTCTCCTTTCCACTTCAATCAAGTTCACATGTGGCCACAAGAACTTGCTTCTCAGAATAAGTTCTTATAAAGGTAAAAACACAATTACCTAATTATCTAGAAAGTAAGGAAGAGGAAGAGTAGTTTTTCAGGAAGACTAACTCCTAAACAAAAAAGCAAAGAGAATAAGCAAGTTCTTACCACTGGCAAGTCCTGGAATAGTACCATCGATAAAGCCACAGGGATTTGGAGTCCACACGGTGATTTATAGATCGGTACTGAAGGCAGGAAGCAAAAAGGCTAATTCAAACATTACATTCAGTCTGTCTCAAAAACAAATATCAAGTGACCAAAGCAAACCAGATTAGCACATGTTAATAATTATTAAAGTATCAGGTCACCCTGACCACACAGGTACTCTATCATGTGTGAAAAAAGGCAAGACTGTAAAGAAGTTCTGCTATCTAAAGACCACAGAGCTGCTCAGATAATTCGACTGTATGCCAGTGATCTCAATGAAGCACTGTCATAATTTAAAATAACAGCATTTATTCAGTGATTTTTCAGTGACTATTGTATGTATTTGTCAAAATGGCCCACCCACTTAATTCCCTTCTCCAACATTCATTCCACTCATGGATCTTCTTTTGTCTTTCTCTTCCAACAGGCCATAAGATGCAAACAAATAAATTCTGAATAGAAGAGACTGCAACCTATGTCTTTGAATAAAATATGCTTCCAGACCGGAAAGTGCCTGTGACTCTTAAGGAATCCCCAAAATATGTCCCTCCTCTGGGACAGCTCCTGGGCTGTTCTTAATCTGCCCCCGCTGAGTAGATGCTTCCAGAAAGGTGGCTACACCTTAAGGACATCTGTCCCCAGAAATCACCCAATCAAAAGCCATCTAGATGCAGCAAGAGAACTCAAGAACTGCCCTTCAGCATTCCTACTGCCTGGGAGAAAACAGGATCTAGGAACCTGCAGTAATGGCCAGTAAAGGAGAGACAAAGAGGGAATCAAGACTTCCAAAGGCACCAAGTTCAGCTGAAGCCGAGTTCCAGCTTCACACTTGAAGCCAGACTTAAACTCTTGAGTTTTTACCAGCTCTGCAAGTAGTCAGATTGAGAGGAAAATTACAGGGTTTGCTGAAATTGTTTATCTTAGCAGTAGGTTAGTCACTAGCAAAACACCCACAATCAAACCAACCCAAACAAATAAACAAACAAAAAACCACCATGAAAATCACTCCACAAACCAGCATGTCTTCTCAAATCCTTAAAGAGATTACTTAATTGTGGGGAAAAAGATATTTCTCCTAGGCAGAAGTTCAGTGAGACTTGCATACCACAGGAATTTGGAATTCTGATTTTGCTTTGTGAATTGAGATGGTGGCTTACAAATGTTGCCTGAACATAGAAGAACTTAAAAACTGGCAGAGTGTGTCACAAACATCCAGCATGGGAAGCATAACAGCTAATAAAAACATGGTTACTTACCTGTATTGCATCTTCAATAAATACTATGGCTTGGTTTATATGAAGGTCATTATCAGCTCCAGCACCTATCAAGTAAAAAAGAAATAAAAATCTCTTGCTGTATTTTGGATAAACACACTTTGGATAAAACCACTTATCAGTTAACAGAAGGTGCACAATCATTGTTCTCACACAAAGGGCACTGTACACACACACAAAAAAAGAGAGTTCCTGCCACATCTGCTCTCAGCAGCACTGTGCATTACATTAAATAAGTAATAATGATATCAAGCACATCATGTACCTGTGTTTTGTTAAAAGGTTCTCTTTTAGGTTTAAGTAGCCATATTACACTGGTAGTTAAGTACCAGTGTAGTACTTAATACAGTATACAGAGACAAGTCCTAACAGGCAAAATAATTGAGATTCAAATTGTTCTTTGACAGAGCATACAGTCAAGTGAAGCCAGGAAAATCAGGCACTACTATTATAGCAATTTTTATTTTTGTTTAATAACGATACTGCGGTCTAGAGTGATCTTGTCCCTCCGAAACCAACAGGAATCTCCAGTCATATGAGACCTAAACTAAGTGCTTTTTAAATTCGCACCGAGAGTTACTATTACCATACCAAACAGATCAGAGCTCAAGACACAGGAAGGGGTGAAAGAACACAATTTGAAATAAAATACCACTAAATTACTTACTATGACACTTTTCAAACCCCATAATTAAGAAGTCTATGTGAAGATAGACACATAAAAAATTAAGGGCAGCCACTTGTGTTTACTTGAAGTAAGACCTTTCAGGAACTAACCTGGCAAGTAAGCCAAGAAGAGAAATAAAGGTAGTTAAGGTCAAAACAAGGAAGGAAAAAAAAAGGAGATAAAAAGCTGATGGGGACTCTAGATATGAAAAAGATATGCTAGTGTAGCCTTCCCACACAGGGGAAGAGTCCCAAGGAGCACTTCATACCATCTCAACCCAGGAGACAGCCTGGGATACTACATAAGAGTCCAGCCCAGCAGCAGCAAAATGCCCTCTGCCACACACCAAGCAATGCCAAAAACACCACTGATCAGAGTCACAGACAATTTTATGTTCCACATGATTCAGCAGCATCAATTTCCTACAAAGACTGAGAACAGTTTTTAAATGTCACTCTTCATCTGAGAGCATCAGCAACAACAGTTTTGTACTGATCCTGATATGAACCATGGCACAAGAAAGATCTGATCACAAACAGGAGACAAGCCAGGTTCACACAGTAAAGACTGTTTTTTTAATGACATTTCACACTAGTGAGATAAAAACAAAAGTTGCTTTAAGGAACCACTAGCTAAAAGCATTGCAAGAACAGCAAAAGTTTTAGGTACTTGAAGCACACAGCAAGTCACTAGTGTCGATGGCAAGGATTTTGGAAAGGCAGAATCTAAGTGACTGTCAGTATAAAAATAAAACAGGGAAATTAGCCAAAAATGTTTACTATAGCAATTTCTCCATGCATTCTACCATGGATATCCAACTTATTCTGCAACTCTTAGTCACAGCAAGTGATGATTAAAGCACTGCTCGCTTTGGGCACACAGAATCCATCCGAGACTCCGCTGCACTTCGGGAACTGCACGGAAGAACAAAAAGTGAAGGCTCCCTTAGGTGATGCAATATCCTGAAAAGAGAGAACCTGAGGTCTCCAAAGAATTCCATCCTGGGGGAACTGAGATGTCACACCTACGACAGTCACCGGGTTCGAGAAAACCTTGTCAGCACTTCAGAGGAAAACCCTAAAATTACATAAGGAAACCTGGGGCTGTAGCAGCAGTGCAAGGCTCGCACCTGAAACCAGCGCTAGCGGCTCCCCCAGAGCCGTGCCCGCCGGAGCTGCCGGGAGCAGCCCGGGCAGGGCGGCCGAGCCCCGCAGCAGCCCGGGGAGCTTCCTGCCGCTCCCGGGAGCGCCCCAGCTCTGCGGGAAAGGCGACAGCTCCGCCCGCCCCGGGCACTCACCGTCCTCGCCAGCCGAGCCGGCACCGTCGCGCTCCCGCCACAGCCCCCGGCCCACCCGCCAGCGCCGCGGGGGCAGCAGCGGCTCCACCTCAGCGCCGGCCTCCATCCGCACCACCGACCACGGGCTACGACGGGGCAGGACGGGGCGGGAGGGAGGGAAGGGACCGGGGGCGGGACGGGAGCGGGGCTCGGCCCGCCCCAGGCGGCTCCGCCCGCAGCATGTGACCGGCCGCGAGGGAGAGCGGGATCCGCGGCCCCGCCGGGCTCCTCCCGCCCGGCCTTCGCCGCCCCCGGGCGCCATTTCCCGGCCACCCCTGGTTGCTGGAGCAGCGTCGGGTTTTCACACCCCACACGTCATTTATGGATTAGAAAATACATCCCTGATAAGGAGTTAGATCTTTTTTGCCTCAGGCTAGTTGCAGGCTCCTGGCTGGGTGCCTCAGGGCAGCTGCATGGCCGCTTCCCACATATATCACAGTCCTAAATATCCATGTGCATCCCTGGTCACAGAAAGTACTTAACTTGTGTTTAATCACCTAAGCATTCCATAAACAGCCATGAAATTCACTCGTGTTGCTTTCACTGTTAGAGATGCTTCACTTGTGCTAATTGTCCACTTTTCTCACGGTCCCCTTCACACGCCCTTCCACTGGTCGGTTTCATACAGCTGCAAAGAGCCATCAGGACAATTTACCAACGGTTTTCTGCTGCATACTGGGATCTGTAGCAGCAAAATAACACAAGAGTTTATCAATCCCTCATTTTAGTATTCCAGCATGGGAAGTACAAGTAGGCCCATCCTGTGCTCTTTAATTGAAAGCTACATGTTTATCAAATGGGGTGCTCTTTACTTCAGTGAATATTTTACACATTTACTAGCCAAGATTATAAGGCAAATGGATGGGCCTGTGATGGAAACTACATCAAAACCTGCCACTTTAAAGCTAAACTGGAAAGCTGATCATCCTATATTAATTGATCAATGGCCTTTAACGGAGAAAAAAATTAAATATCCTTAAAAGATTGGTAAAGGAACAATTACGGCAAAGTCACATCACACCCACGAAGAGTCCCTGGAATTCACCAGTATTCATCATCCACAAGAAGACATTGGACTCCTGGAGGTTGCTTCATGACCTCCTGAGGTAATGGACTTCCTTTGTGACTTGATGGTTTCATCTTTCAATGGGACCCTTCTGAGAGAAATCCTTTGTTAATAATAGAATGGGTTTTTCTTCCCAACAGGTTTCAAAGACAATTTTTACAGTTTTAGAGGTGATAGGACAAATTGTAATGAGGGCCAGAACAAGATTGGTACATTTAGCAGGTCAAGAATTTGCAGTTATCTATTTACCATTGAAAAAATATTATCTTGATTGGGCAATGCAAAATTCTGATGATTTCCCAGGTATTTGTTCTGTTCATTACCTAGCTCACTAATTATTGCAGGTAAAATTGAGTTTTAGAGATAACCTATATTAAGTGAAGAACCTTTAAATGTAATAACTCTCTTCACTGATGGATCTGGCAAAAGTCACAATCAGTCATAACTTGGTTGAACCAAACAACTAAAGCTTGGGAATCAGATGTCCAAATAATAGAAGGATCTCCTCAAATTGTTGAACTTGCCCATGTGGTTTGGGGTTTTCAGCTCTTTCCACAACTTTTTAATTTAATTACAGATTCTGCTTATGTTACTAATGTGGTTAAAAGAATATTTTTAATTAAAGGCAATTAACTCAAGAAGCTGAAGAAAATCCTTAATAAATGATCTCTTAGCCAAACTACAGTTTAAGTATATTGGGAGTAAAAGAGGGAGTCAATTAAAAAAAATTATTACAACAGTCAGCTCAGGAACTGTTAAGCAGGTCATCCCTGCTCATTATCACAGTATAATCCAGTTTTGAACATTCTGTTTGACAAATTAATTTCCGCAGTTAAACAAGACAGGAAGTCAGTCCACATCTTCAACTAAAGAAATTCATTCCTTTTTTTCTAGCTTGGATACCTGCAAGTAAAAAAGAAAACAATTCAGTAGCAAAAATAAGCTTCTTCTTCCATCAACATCTCCTACTGGTTGTAAAAGAGACACACAAAGACCAGGTTTTTATGAAGTGGACAAATCTCTTGGTTTGACCAAATGCATCTAATCTTATGGTGTAACACTGGAAACAGCAGAAGATGGCCTGCAGATATCTCATCCTTGCAAGTAGATGTGCCAGCTTTCTTCTGAGCTGCATCACAGTTCCTTCAAATTATGGCAACAATTAAAATCCCAGTGAATATTTTGGCACCTGGAAGTGCATCATTTGTGCTCTGACCACAAATCCTTTACTTCAGACACAGCTCCAAGGCAGCAGCTACAGACAGCATTGCCAGAGTTCCTATGGTTGTTCCAAAACCCCCATGCCAGGTAGAGCTGAATGACAGGAAGACTCCAAGAGCAAATCTGGTAATTCCCAGCAAGTGCTATGATCTTAAATTCCTTTTACCCCTGTTCCTTCTGCAGAAAATGCAAAGGGAATTTTGCACTAAAAATGGATTGATAACTAAACTGACTTGACTACACTACGGACATCCAAAGCAGGAAAGTACTTTCTACAAATCCAACAGATTATCATTAGCACTCCAAATTGTTTCAATTCACAAATGAGCTTGAGCTGTAACATGACTCTCCTATAGGAAAACCTGGCATTACCTAAGTAAAGGTGGATTTTATGTCAAGTTTATGCCATATTTTCACAGTCCTGTTACTATGCCAGAAAAATCTTAAGTGGAGATTGAGTCCCAGGAGCAGAATCATCAGTGGGACACTGTCCTAGAGTGATTATCTTCAGAATTACAATTGTGCTGAACACCTACAGTAAGAGGAAACTCTTCCTGTATTCCTTTTCTTGAATAGGGCAGATTTGACTCAAACCACTGCAAGTTATTATTTTTCAGTCTTGCAAAGCACTGTAGGAGTTATCAGTTCAGGCTACTCTTATCTACACAATAAAATCTTCCCCAAACTTGCCTCCTGGTTTCCAGGAATAAGTTGCCACTACCCTTGCAGAGCACAACTGCTATTACATACTAATTTAGTTAAAGAATGCAACAATATCTGCATCATTAAAAGATCTTAATCACATTTACCCGAAGCATAAGATAATTACATTTTGGTCCAGACCCTACAAAAACATTTTGCCTGACTCCCACTGAGACCAAGATAACTTTTGTCCTAGACTTCAGCGGAAAAAAGTTCAATATGATGTAAAAAAATCCCCCACTATACATACTTTACAATAGTAAAGTACTGCACATAGTAGCTTTTATCCCAGGTTTCAAGGTAGTAAAATACTATTACAACATGTCTGGCATTTCACAGATGAAGGAATTAGTATTTTATTACATGTATAGACATATTTTTAAAAGCAAATGGCAGAAAAAAAAATCTCTGGCAGAAAAAACTTTAAGGGGTGCTAAAATTCTTCACCCCAGCATATGTGCCATAAAAGAGGCATTAAAAATAAGTTTGAAGGAGTGGCTAAAAATTATAAAAAGTTAAGCATGGTTCCAATAATCGCCTGGGCCCCTCCCCATCTCAGTGCTCAAACTGAGCACAGTACCATTACTGCTTCTGTGTTTGAGCAAACATGAATTTGTGAGTCAGCTAACTTGAGATTCAAAAAAGGAACTGTTGCAGAAGCAGGTGGGAGAAGCACAGTGAATTGCTGCCTCTTACACTGGCTTTCTCCACGCTGATGTAGGTAAAGTCTTAATTCTGCATTTAAGCAGATCCCTTCAGACAGGCCCTGAACTGAAACCAAAACACAAAAGCTTGTTTCTCCCATTAGCACAGGACTTCATGAGTCTGGATACACCTATTACTTTCTGTCCTCAGTACACCAATTCTTTTATTTTTTCTTGTTCTTGTTTTCATAGCAGTATGACAAAAAAGAACCTAAACAGCCTACACTGAAATCAGGGGATTTAACATCACAGTCGTGTGAAAAGAACAATCAGTTATTTCTTAAATAACTGCTATTCTAAATGTTAGTTGTGTTTTACTGGAGATTCACTGGAACCAGTGAATTTATTTGTATTCAAATTATTTGAATAATTTCAATGCAAGATCATTCCAGAAGCAGATTTACCTGTTTGTCTATACACCTGAACTGCCAGGACCACGAGGTGTTGTAGAGGAAAGGCCTCAGGTCAAAACGGTTGTCATCTGGACTGTAGTTTTCAGCGTGGTAGGAAGGAGTGAGGATGGTCATTTTGTGCCTGTTGACTGAATACATCCTGAAGAAATGCTTAACCTTGGATGCCACCTGGTGTACAAGGAATGTAGCTTTTAACCAGATGAAGTTTCTTAGTATTTTAATTTAAAAATTGAGAGGAGCACAGTATTTTGGAGACTTTTTTCTATCTTGACATGGTCCATATATTCTTTCAAAGCACGAGTCATTTTTTGTCTCAGAACACATAACAAAAGGCTTCAACAGTAGTTGGTCATCTGTATTTTAGAGAACAATTTTCCCTGAGGTATAATTCTGAAGTAATTGTTTTCAAATTACCCAATTAACAACTGTTTTAAAAATTTGCAGCACAAGACAGCAAGCTCCATTTAGGAGATGTAGACCAGCTTTTCTAGCATATTCTGCTGCAACTGTAGAATAATCTCTATACACAAAATAATGAAACTATTACTTTCAGTTAAAAGGAACCTGACCTTTCGCCTAACATACTTTATTTTGTCAAAAGCATTAAACTATTTGATATTTTTTTCTCTTTGGTATATTACCTCTCTTGGTGTACAAATTTCCTTCCATATATTAATCAGCTTACAGAACATACTGTATGGTCCAGCCTTTGCAATTTTCCTCAATTTCCCATAGATTGAGAGCTCTGCATATGTCATCCCCATATCTGCCTGAAAACAGACACACAGAATGTCAAAGAAAATCTATGCAAATTTTAATGAATACTTTCATGGAGCAATTAAAACAACCCAGTTAAATCAAAGAAACACCAAAATGAAATTGTCAAGGTCAAAAATACATAGTAATACTATGAGCAGAAATAAAAGAAACCCACTGGAATCTCTCTGAATTGGGAGATTGGAGGCCACAGAGGTAGTTTTATCAGTCCTCTCCTTTCCAAAGGGATAGAAAAGAGAAGGATGTGGGGAGAAGAGTGCTTTGCCACCAGTCATTTTCATAGCAGCAAGGCCCTGACTTTCTTTTGCTATTAAAAAAACCATAAAACAAACTGTATTTTACAATACTCATCCTTCTAAGTGTCCAAAAGTCTAAAATAGTTCAAAAATTAATTTGCTAACAATAGTTTTGGAAACTATTGTCAACACAGAGCAAGTGTGGGGAATTAATGTTGGTAGCTTTAAGACTGCCTGTCAGAAAGCATGGTTACATACACCTACGGGACAAACCCCAGATTTTGGGGGAAGGCTTAAAGCATTTTAAAGGCACTGCCCATTATTACCTCATCAGTTTGAGCCACTTGTCCATCCACCAGGGGCTCCAATTCCGCAGTGGGTGGAGCTGACACGATACTGTAAGGGAGAGGAAAAAGGAAAAAACGATTCCATGCAGTCTTATTAGTGCTGGTTTGTTAAAACAGCGCTTCATCCCAAAAATGAAGCACCTGGCTCAGATAGTTCCTCCAGTGGAATGAACAAACACAGTCACTCAGTCATTGCTCACCTCCTGAGGGCTGTGAGCTGGAAATTTTCAATGCAGTACTGAATGAAGTTCTTCAAATCAGTCTTGCTGATGCCACCAATGGGGTTGATATCAGCACTGGAGCAGTCGTACTTGGTCAAGTAACCACGGAGACTGAGCAAAACAGGAAATTTTATACAGCAACAGTTAATAATAATGTAACTGCAGCATAATAGATAATCCTTGACATTATAGAAAATTTATATGTAGCATGAAGAAAGGGAGAAACAGACTGCAGATTAATAATGTATTTATACCTAAAGGGCAACATGTTTAACTGCAGCAGGGTGTCCTGGCTTGTAAGATAAGCATGTATTCTATTTACCATCTGTTGGAGGTTGGGCAGTTTTCTTATCTCTTCCAAGAACAACGTCTCCAGGGAGATATCTTCTGTTAATAAGCCATTGAATGACTCACTGCATGACTGGTAAAGTTACATCATCCCACTGTGAGATGCTCCAGCCAGAGGAAGGAATCAAACATCCTTACCTTCATAAAATGAGCATTTTTGGGATATCAGGGGCAGCCCTTCACTGGATTCCCAGAGAAGCAGTCTTCTTCTCTGCTGGATTCCCAGAGGAAGATCAGGCCCATCACTCCATCACCAGATCTTCAGAGAAAACTACACCCTTCTACAGATCCCCTCTTCCAAGAGGAACAGCTGAGACCTTCTCTACACTGGACCTCCAGAGGGAAACTACATCAGTCTACAGGACCACGGCTTGGACAGAACCGTATCTGCTACCACCGCTCTAGCCACCAAGTATCAGGTTGTATCTCTAACTCTGTCAGTGGTTCTTCTTTTGTGCTGTTGTATGTATTTGGTTCTTTGTTCCCTTTTTTCTAATAAATTGTATTTCTGACTGAAGCGCCTCTCAGTGGTTTTGCTTTTCAAACCAGAACACAGGGTTATCCTAAATCCCTGAAACTTTCAGAAGATGATACTTTAAACAATCATAAAGCACTGCAAAACTGTCCATGCTAAGGCAATATGTGCAAAATAATTAAAACATTGTGCTGACTAATTAAAATAATAAATCTCAAAACATACATACAACCAGCTCACAGCTTTAGAGGTTACCACTCCCACAGTCTTACAGGGATTGTTTTAATCTTCAAATACTAGCTCTAGTAACAGTACTCCAGATTTTAAGCTGCTTTTTCAGCTCAAAGTTCACATCCTCATTCCTAATGCAGTTACTGAAAATTCAACATATTGGGAAGTTAGCCTAAGGAATGCACAGGTAAGCTCTACTGACAACAGCATTTTATGGGAAAGCTATAGCAATACTTTGGGCTAAACCTCTGAAAAATACACCATTTCCCATTCAAGCTGATTTAACTATTTTCATTGATTTCACTGTTACCAGTGCATTCTTAGGTTGTTACCTCTTCTGAGTCATCATCTACAGTGATATTTGGTAGAGTTGAAGGAAATGACAGTGACCTGTTCCACCTGGTTTTGGATTCTCAGTTTTTACCAACCTTTCATCCACATTGGCTGATCCCAGCACCAGCAGTCCCCCTGGCATCCCACGAGCCCACAGTGTCAGCTGAGCAAACAGGTAGGCAAGGACCATTCTTATTCTAGCCTGCAAAGTAAAAGGAAAAGGAAAGCAAAATTTACATAGCAGAGTGATTTCTCTACAGTCACTTTTATTAATCAGTTGTCTAAACAAGCTCATGAAGAACAAAATGGGGGCAGGGTAAGTGTGACTGCAGGAAGGATAGTCTTTTGGAGAAATTGCTGAGCACACTCAGGAAATCCAGGTTCAGTATCAGCTACTGCCACAAACTGAGGAAGTTTCTCCTGGCCAACGGCAAATTGGGGAGTAGGTGCCATCTGCTACCTCTGAAGCACTAACAAGGATCCATGATGGAAGAAGCGTGCAGATAAACTATATTCTTTTATAGTGTAAATAAATCCCTCTAGTCTAATAGAAAACATTTGCGAAAAGTTTGCTTTTGTCCCCATTTTGAAACTCAAGCTTTTTCTAACAATGCCTGGGATCCAGCCTTCAGCTCCAGCAGCAATTGTGGGTGATGTTAAGCCAATATCCAGACTCCCCTGTGACTTAAACCTCTCCTGCTACCAAAAAGCTGACAAAGAATTCAATGTTTGCTTCCAGAGCAAACAGCTGGATTTGTCCAGTAACAGAGAGAAAAAGATCAAATTCCTCAAATTAACAAAAACTATCAAACAGGATAACCAACACTCGGAACTAAAGCAGAATTGCTGGTTAGGTTGGAAAACCAAAAAAAAATCAAACCAAAACCCACAGAACCAAAAGAGTGTGGCCCGATTCAGCCTACAGGACACACACCTGCACATTCTGGAGTGCCAGGTTCTCTCTGCTACTCCCTCCATAGACAGAAAACCGGGGAGTTCGACCTGTCACCACACTGAAGATCCCCACAACAGCTTTCACAGCCGCATCTATGTTCAGGTTGATGTGGTAGCTGAGAAGAATTCAAGCACAAGTGACTCAGCCAGCACAATCTGACTATATAAAACAGAAAAAACCCACCAAAATTCCACCCATCAAATGAGACTTTAAATCTGCTAAAATCTCAGATCTGGTAGGAAGAAACTTAGGAAAGAATAACACTTTTCAGAGTCTGTTTCCAAAATTCCATGTCCTTTGCCAAATGCTTCTAAGTCTGCCACACTTTAACACTTTAGTAATACTATCTGCAGCATTCCTACTTAACCCACCTCCTATTCCTCTCTTATTTTTTTCCCCTTTTTGAGACTGAATGTTTTAGATGTAAGTCGTTGCCAGAACATACTGTTTCTTCCCACCACTTTCTGAGCTTGTACCTGCCTATTTGCTCAGCCAGCAGTTTGGCCCTGTTGCAGGTATCCTGGGAGGAGTTCTCACTAGCCATGTAGCACGTGGTGAAGACACGCCTGCAGAATTCATGAGGATCCTCAGGGATGTAGGTATCATCGTTCACAATCCTGCGTGCATCAGCCAGCACATCTGCATCTGAGGACAGAGCAGAAGAAACAGAACAGGAGTGGAAATTATTGTGCTCCTCCCTTTGCAAGATATGCAAATAGCTTGTACATCCTTTGTATTCCAATTAAGCTTTACAGTGCCCATGACAAATAAGATCACTACATCTAATGTCCCAAAAAAATTTTCATCTATAAAAGAATTACCAATTTTGCTCCCGATTTTGAGCACAGAAATTTCAAATCCCTTAGATCTACTGAAGAATCTTCATAGAAAACATGATCCAGTATGTACAAAGACTTAGCTAAAAGCATGAAGTCTGCTTAAAGCCAGAACTAAAAGAAATTAAACCATTCCTAACCATGCATTGTAGTGCTGCTTTTAATAGAAGGGGGAAATTCTCAGAATAAACTGAAGACTACATCAGCCAACATTTGAACAATAGTCTAGACAGAAAAGAGTCTGAGTTCCACATCCAATTCTTAAACCCAAAATGGAAACCATTATGCCAATTCAGAGGATCTGAATCTGGACACACTGGAATTTTCACTGGAATTTCTGAAGAGATACAAAGTATTCCATTAGAACGACACAAAAAGGGTATACCATTAATAAGCTCTTGCAGCTACTCCACCCAGCTAATATTAACTTATCCATAACCATTAGTAAACACAGCTGGCCAGCCACACAGACCTACTTACTGCCATTCTTGACTGCCAGGCAAACCTGGTGACACATGGAATACACTATGCAAGCTGTAGCAGAGCTGTCAATTCCACCACTCAGAGGTAGGAGAAACCCTGCCTTAAAAACAGAGCAAGGAATAGGTTCCACATAGCAAAATTAGAAAAAAAAATACGTATTGTACCATTCAGAAACACATTCCAGTAGAAGAATGACAGGCATTGTTCAAGGCTTTATATTGTTCAAGGTTTATATTCTACTGGGGAGAAACAGAAGAAACCACCCAGAGCAAATCCTCTGAAACTCTCATCAACTGGGCAATCAAACAAGTAGTCACTGTAAAACCCTTTGGCTAGAAAAATTTCTATTTGTCTTTACCCTCTAGCAAGACAGAAATGCTAAAAAAAAGGATTACATTTTTCATATATACTTTACTATTACACTGAATAACTACTTCATGTCACTCTGCTGCACTCAAGAAATGACAATTCCTAAGGGAAGGGTGCACAAAGCATACTGAAGTCACACTTGGAATACAATTTTTATGTCTGACTGAGCTACCAGTGAAAAACTCAAACTTTGCACCTTGGACTAAGATCAGTTTGGGTTACCAGCAGCACAGAAAAACAATTTGGATTGTGCCTGTGGCAAAAAAGTAGCTGTGTATGCCAAGGGAAAAACAAACCCAGTTGTTCTTACCTGTTTGCTGCGCCTTAAATAGTCCCAGAGCCAACATGCAGGTCCAAGGCTGAAATTACAGAACACATGATTGTTCTAAGAAGGTTACAACAAGTCAACATATTTACTGTGGTCTTCCAATGAGAGATTTCCTTTACTTAAATCTGAACAACATCTTATGTTTATCTCTTTCTTTGAGTTTTGGAGGGGTTTTTTTAAATCAAAATAATCTTCAAGCAACAGATTCAGCATTTGATTACCTGATCTCTTCCTCAGGACTGTGGTGTCGCCACTGGATTGGCATACAAGTAGGAACAGCTAAATCATCAGGACACGACAGAGCAAAGTTCACTTTTATCCTGGGATAAGGATTCACTTTACTTGCCTAAGCAATAGTACAGAAGAATTCAGAAGACACAAATTTTAATGTAGTTTTAAAAAAATCAGCTAAGATACTGTGAAAATCAAGACATGCAAATACTTCTTACATCCAATGACTATTCAAACTTGGCACAGTTTACAAACACAAAGAGTTCTTACCGCCAAGTTGCGAGATGAGATCTCTGCTCTGTAACTTTGAACATCCTCCAGGTCCAGAGTGGCAACCAGCACCTCCTGTGGAAAGGCTTTCAACATCAGATCACTCTACACAAACAGATAAACAATGCTTGGCAAAAGATTCAGCATCAGCTGTGGCAAAGGAAAAGGCAAGAAATGTTACTGGGGAAAGTGATGGAGCTTGCACATAACATGAGGAAAGCTAGATGACAAATCTACTGTTTTCTGAAATCAAAGTGAAACCTTGTGTCCACAAAATTGGGTCTTAATTAGAACATTGCAGTCTTTGCCCTTTCTTCCTTTAAATAAGGGAATCTCAATTAACAGGGTCTCTCCTCCTCATGATGATTGCATACAAAAATGTTTTCATGAAGTTCTTCCACTGTGACAATTCTTCATTCCTCACAAAAGCAGGAGAGCTACTGTAGGTAATCTGACTAGGAAAACACTCAGATCTAGTTGAATAATAATTAAAATACACCTTTTTTAGTCTAGAGATGTGGACCTAGATCTGGAATATCTGGGAACTGTTGAGCATAAGTGTCCTAGCAGTATGGGGTGAATACATTACCACATCATCGAGTGAGAACTGGGATCCTTGTGCAACAGTTTCTCCATTCATGGAAATCATGGCACAGCCATCATAATAGAGACGATCACCATCACAGCCTTTCTGATTTGCTAATATATATATACCACCATTCTGCCAGGGAAACAAACATGCAGGGAAGAGAAAAAAACTGTTCAGAATGTAGCACCTGACAGGATGTTAAAAATCAAAATGTTATTTCTCTGTTCCTGCCCTTCTTACAAATTTCCTCTCCCTTTACATTGAGAATGATTTATGGCTGGGATTCTCTCTTGATAGGAGTCACTATTAGTAGCAAGAGTCATTCCCTCAACCCAAAGAGAGAGAGCTGCACTTCTAAATTGAAATTCTGAGTTCAAATTGAGGTTGAGAAAAGCAGGAAGGTGATAACAGCTGTGTTTGGATATCAGAGGAGAAAGCAGATACTGTTAAATATAAGCAAAGCATGTTAAATTAAAATGACAAAGCATCTTTTTCACAGTGTAATGTACACTTATTGCTTTACTTTTGTTCCCATCACTGTTAGATAGGATTACAGAGCAAATAATAAATGTATTCTCATTTTTCAAGCAAACAGAACTTTCCACACCTTTGCTGTGGCAGAATTCACCAGATCCACCCGGGCATGAGCTTTCCGCAGCACGTGGTGACTCCCGGAAGAGTTGGTGAAAATTTCCACACCATCAAGTCCCATCTCAATGTGAGGGCTGTCAAGGCAAAAGGCACAAAAATAAATCACTACTGTGCTGTGAAAACTGCAAATGTCATTAAAAATCACTGACAAAGAGAAACATCTATGTCACTGTTGTTTTTCTGTATGTCTTAGCTCAAACAAGGATAGGGCTTTCAAAACTTTCTTTTTCTTGCATTGCCCAACTCTTCTGCCAAAGACCAGCAGTGGCTGCAGAGGTCAAGAGGGCTTTTGCTCAGTCTGTTCTAAATAAAATGCCTTCTACTCTATAGAAGGCCAGGTCTCAAAGAAAGAGAGAAAACATAATCTTGGTTTGAAAGGGCAACATGGATATACACTGCAAAGTCAGTTGTCCCATTTTCCTTGTCTCTTAGTAAATCAAAAACAGAACCACAAGGAGAGGATTTTTACTGCTTTTTTTTCTTTTTCCAATGTCATAAGAAATAAACGCTTAAAAAAAAAAAAAAAATCACATCTTCAAAACACACCACATCTTCTGCAGTTACAAGGAAATTAATGTAACTGGGAGATTGGAAAAGTATCAGGAATGTGAGCACCAGAGTTACTTGTCATTTATTTCCTTAGGTCACTCTTCTCATTCTGCTTCTTTTTGGTATTTTTCCCCTACCTTCCTGTTTTGAGTTGATTTAGTTTAACAACCAACATTTCTTTGCCATCCTGCACCTTGCCTAAGGAGGTCTTTCCCATGATGTATTTGTTGCTCCTAATTATATTTTATCTTACTGGCACTTTCTTAAAGATAAATTACATAGAAGAATAATAAGCAGATCTCTTCAAACATTTCTTTCAGGCAGCTCCAATGTATGTTTTAGATTACATTTATTTCCTTTTCTACTTTACCTGTTTGGTGCCCAGAGTTCTTCACATATTTCTGCCCCTAGGCAGGTATCTTTAGTTGCTAGCACTGCATCCCCAAAAGGAACAGTTTCCTGAGGAAAAGCAAGAACATTCTTACACATATGCAGTAGAATAAGCTGTTCAATTCAAAAACTTAACTACAAATCTTAAGAAAATATAAAAATTGAATGCTTACTTGTGTGAAATTAGTGACACAGTATCAATCACATTATACCTTCTTTCGTTTCATATCAAGTAGGAGTAAAAAAAATTCTGAAATGCAAATTTCTGGACTGATAGAAATTTCATGTTTTAATTTCAGTAGTATTCAGATGCAGTGCTTTGCTTAAGGACAGGAATTAAACAATCTACAAAACAGAGACTGTCTGTTGTTTGGAATCACACTCATGCTTTAATGGGAACTAACATAAATTTTAGATCCTTCTGAACGAATAGGGTTTAAACAATTTCAAATTTATTTTTTTTAACCTAAAAAGATATACTCAATTCTAGCCTCAAGCACAGATAAACTCAGTACCAAAATTGTGCAAAATATGGCAATCAAGGTTCTGTATGTACAAATAACTGAGGAAGACTTAAAATTTACTTGCTTTGCTACCATATACTAATTTAAATAATATTAAATTATGCTCTCATTTAATGCAATTTAGAACCACCCTGAAACATATGAATCCACAACATGGCTGGCAGCAAAATTTTGGAGACTACAGTTTTTAATTGCTGAATCTGGAGATGCTAAATTAAAAAAAAAAAAAAAAAAAAAAAAACAACAACAAAAAAAAAAAAGCTTACCTGTCCAGTCACTTCCTGAATAATCCGGGGCAGAAAATATTCCTCCACATGCCTAAATCAAAATTATAGAGTGTGAATACATCATTACATAAATCACAGCATATAAACTGGTTCTCATCTCACCTTCTAATGCTGCTTAAAGAAACCATGTTGAAGTAGTACAGGGCTGTGTGTGTTTAAAAAATAATAAAAAAAAAAAATTCAAATTTCTGTGGAATTAATCAGAAATGCTGACATTTTAAGATAGCAACATCTGTGCTTCAGAAAGGCAAGATAAACAGCACCCCATCCTGGCTAGAAAGCAGACCTAACAAAGAACACACCATGCAAGACAAATGCCAGGTAGAAGTCTCTCTTTTTACAGGGCTACCACACAAGCAGCTCAGAACCAGCTGGGGCTCAGAGGAGGGACCAGAAGTGCTTTGCTGAGACCCTCAAGCTGGAAGCACTCCCTGACTACAAGATGAGTGCACAGCATCAGAGCCAAGTGCCAGACATGTTCTGCATCATCATAAGGCAGGCAGCTTTCATTAACCGCAGTTGTTGACGTTTTGACAGAGCTCATCCATTTCAGTGTTTGCCAGTTCAGTACTAGGATGCAGCAATCAGGAGATAAACACAGCCCTTTCCAGTCCTGAGCTGGCTGTTCTTAGAAAGCACACACCAGGAAAATGACACTTTACACTGGCTATAGGATCAAGCAGCCTCACTTTTTCTTCCAGCTCAGCTACTCAGAGTCTGACTGCTCAATAAGCTTCCTACAACCACATAGCTTGGCTGACTCTGTCCTGCTGCTCTCCCTGTAGCAGCCAATGAGGATTTGCTCTGGATATTTCAACCCTGTTGCTGTGGCTGCAAATGGCAAGCTGTGTTTTTTAACACAATTCTTAAGAGTTGCCAGCATACCTTGCTTTGCTCCATGGGGTGAACCATCTAAGTTCCCTGTAGTTTCCTGCATTTGCCAGTGATATTTTTGGTCTGATCAGAAGAATCTTCCTTAAATAAAACAAAACAGAAAAACTGAGTTTACACATGATGTACAGCCAAACAAGCCTATATATGAACACTGATTAAGAACAACTTATTTTTTTCTAGTATAATGTAACATTTTTAAAGTTTCTTGCAGACTCAAGGAGGGTTTTTTTTAACTCTTCCAGAAAGCAGTGGGAATTTAGTTTCCACAAATCAGAAAAGAAAAAACAGATAATGAGAAACCTTAGTTGTCTCTTTCAAACTTTAGCTAATAGGAAGATAAATCCATCACTCCAGCACTGAAGAATCTTACTTGAAGACTGAACTGGTGTCTTAAAAGAGAATGTATTACCTCACAAAACACATCAAGAACTACTTACTTATTTAAAAAGATCACTCGACAATTGTAGCGAACATTTCTGTGCAGAACAGGCCTGTGAAAATAAGAGCCAAAATATGCAGTAACTACAGTTACTAAATGAAATTATAAAAAGTTACAGAATCTACTTTACTGCAAAAACTATTCATAAGACCTCATTAGAGGGAATCAAGCAAAAGAATATATGAAGTTTTAGCTTCTATTTTTTTAGTTAAAGTAGTAGTTTGAAAAAATCTGAGTTACTGACTGTGGTGTCAATCTCAGATATATCAGCTACTATCTGAGCCTTAGTAACATGAGCATACCAGAAGATTCCCCATGGCTGGGCCATGTTATTTAAAAAATGTGACCTCCTGTGATACTACCAACCCAGTTCAAAATCAAACTAGCTTTACACAATTATATCAGTTCTAACATGTTGATTTTACAGATATAATTTACCACACTTCCATGTCAGCACGAGGCATACAATGGCTTCAGTGAGTTTCACATACACTTATGTTGTTTACAATGTCTGTCAGTGAAAGCAGCCCCTGCATTCCCACAAGACAGTGAATTCATAAAGCCTTTTGAATTACACCTCACACAAAGTTTGACCTATAGCAATACGTATCAGACTTTAAGGTTTCCAATAGATAACTGCAATTATCCTATTTCTCTCTTGAAGGGATCAGCCACCAGCAATCTTTGGAAGGATTATATTTCAGAAAGTGTTCTGCACGTTGCAGTCCTGGTCATGGTAATTAAAAGGGGAAAAGCAGTGCAGTTCCTAAGATACGTTTGACAGTTTGGTGCAGAGCCCCCACTATCCAGAGCATGGCACAAGCAGCATTCCCTAAGGACTTATCCCTTTATCACAGGTTTACAAAAAAAAAAAACAAAAAACAAACAAAAAACCCCCACCAAAACATTAAAAAACTTACATTCCCACATCACAGATAATATCTTGAGTAGTTGGAGACTCCAAGAGCTTTTCCAGAACTTGAAACGAATGCAAGAGTGTGTCTGACTCATAAAAGTGATCTGAGCAGCCATAACCACTATGTATAGAAACAAGGAGAAATCAAAAATACAGCCAGATCAGCACCAGAGCCAGAGAACCAAAATTACTTTAGACAGGGAGCATTTCACCCACACAGGCAATTTATATAGAAAATGAAGAAAAAGTGCTGTCAACACCATCCCTATTTACAACATTTAAAACTGTAGCATTCTGTATCACCCCATGATATTCCTTACAGGACAGCAGCCTGGGCCCAGGCAGAAATCAAAGCACTACAGTTCCCCTGGAAGAAAACTCACTGAAATAGGTTAAAAATTATCGCTACGAGTCAGGTTTCCGAGACAAGAGACCCAATCCCATGCTCACAACTACAGAGGAAAACTCACTGAAATAGGTTAAAAATTATCGCTACCAGTCAGGTTTCCGAGACAAGAGACCCAGTCCTGTGCTCACAACTACAGTGCTTTTCTTTGCACCACATTCTGTAAGTATGGCTCTGGGCACTGCAGCACCACGAGGCTGATGCTCTTCACGACTGTTCTTCCACAGGTAACCGGAATCGCACCAAACCTAGCGCCAGCAAAGCGCCCTTACCAGATTTCGAGCTCTGGGCCAAGCCGGTACCGGGCTCCTTTGCTCTTGGCGATGTCGATACCTGTAAGAGTGTTGGGAGCGCAGTGCGTCAAACAGGCACGGTCTGCGCCGCCCCGCCCGCGGCAGGAGGGAAGGAGGGAGAGAAGGGAGCGGAAGAGTATTCCTGATAGCCGGGGACAGCAGCCACTCACTTCTGAGAATCCTCTCCAGGTTGCCCTCAAAGTCCAGAGCCCACTGGTTAAGGGCGCAGGTGGCCACTGTCACTGCCCGGCCCATGGCGGCCCCAGCGCCTTCCCCGCTGCTTCCGGGGCGGCGCAGGGCCGGGGCTGCCCGTCCCTGCTCCGGCCGGGGCTGCCGGTCCCGCCTCCCGGTCCCTCCCCCGGCCGCTCCTCCCGCTCCCTCCCCCGGCCCCGGCAGCAGCACGTGTACCGTCAGTGCTTCAAGCACCGGATCCTTGCAGAGCCGGTGTCCACCCGCGCTGTGGCTCCTCCGGCGCCGTGCGCTGCTGCACTCCCTTACGCACCTTCTGCAGTTTTATCTCCCCAGAGCCCTGAATAACGGGAATGCAGCCTTAACCTGTTTCTTAGCCCTGCAGCTTATTTTAGGAAGTGTCTCTCAAACCGAGTTCAGAGTGCGGGTGCTGAATGAAGATAACTGGAACAGGGTGCAACCTTCTGTGCGGTTCTCATTTCAGCATCACCCCGACAGCTCTCAGGGTGCTGACCCCAGAGAGGCTGACTTCTTCAAAGTCCAATCTCCTCTCTTATGTCCCTTGTCACATATTTGGCTGCCGTAAGCCGCCTTTCACACGGGATTCTAATTTCTTTCTTTACTAGAATCAGAATAATTTAGGTTGGAAAAGACCTGTGAGACCACTGAGCCCAACCACAAATCCAGCACTGCCAAGCACACCGCTAAAGCATATCCCCAGCCGCCACATACACACGGCCTTTACCTCCAGCAATGGTGACTCGACCACCACTCTGGGCAGTCTGCTCCAATGCCTGCCAGCACTTTCCATGAAGAAACTTCTAATGTCTGAGCCTTGGCACAATTTGAAGCCATTTCCTCTTCTCTTGTCACTTGTCATTTGGGAGAAGGGCTTACAGGCTACAGCCTCCCTTCAGGGAGTTGTAGAGTGTAAGATCCCCTCCTTTTCTGCAGGCTGAGACCTCATCCCCCCTCCCTCCCCTCAGATCCATCCCTTTTCTGGACACACTCCAGCAACTCAATGTCTTGGATTAAGGTGCCCAAAACTGACCCCACAATTCAAGGTAGGGCCTCAGCAGTGCCCAGAACAGAGGGACGATCACTGCCCTGGTCCTGCTAGCCACACTACTGCTGACACATGCCAGGATGCCATTATCCTTCTTGGCCACCTGGGCACACCTGGGCTTGTGTTCAGAAGCTCTCGGCCAGCACCCCCAGGCCTTTTTCTGCGGGACCATTGGAAATTGCATAGAACAGTGGAATGTAGAGAGTTTAATAGCGACTCAAGGCGGCCCAGATTGGCTTAGGGGCTCCACGTTGCCACCCAAGTGCAGGTGTACCCTATTTCCTTGGACACCATTCCCACTCCAGCAACGCTCCCTCCCGGCCTACGTGCCCGGCAGAGCGCGGGTCCCAGACAGGGGGCGGAACCCGCGCTCCTCGGCCCATGGGACGAGCCCGCGCCACCAATGGGGAGCGGCAGGATGGGCGGGGCGCGGCGGGGATTGGCTGAGGCCGTGAGGTGGGGGCGGGGCCGGTGCCGCCTGAGGGGCCGCAGGTGCGGCGGAGGTGGAGCGGCGGCGGTCGGGGTGGCCGAGGGGTGCGGTGCGGTGCGGTGCGGTGCGGTGCGGTGCGGTGCGGTGCGGTGCGGTGCGGTGCGGTGCGGAGCGGAGCGGAGCGGCGCGGGGCGGGGCGGTGCGGCGCGGAGCGGTGCGGTGCGGCGCGGAGCGGTGCGGTGCGGCGCGGCGCGGCGCGGCGCGGTGCGGTGCTGATCCTCGGTGAGAGAGCGGCCCCGGTTCCCTAGGTGAGTGCGTTCGTTACTTACCGTGTCGGGGACTGGGACGGGAAGGGAGTCAGCCGTGTGGGCTTAGGGGACCGACGAGCCCCCTTCCCTCCACACGGCTAATGAAAAGAAGCCTAGGAGGGGAGGACTAAAGGAAATGGCCTAAAGGCGAGGTAGTGGAGAGTCCGATTAGATGCGAGAGAATTTTTCGCTGTTGGAACAGGCTGCCCAAAAGGAGGTGGATGCAAAGGGTATGGCCAGGCTCAGTCCATGTGCAGATAATGGATCGGGTTCACCGTGATGAGGCACTTAGAGCCGGGACGTCAGTCCATAGTTCCGATTATAGGATGATTTTCTTTAGCATAAGAAGTGTTTGATCAGAACGAAAGAAAGCATGTTGCACTGAGAGTTAGGTGGTGCCAGGTAAATCATTCTCCATTCCCACTGATTTTTTACTCAGATGGGATTATAGCTTGTTTTCTATGGTGGAAATGACATATATGGAGCAAGGACTCTGAGCAAAAGTATCCAGCTGACAAGGTCCCATACAGATAATGTTACAGCAGTAGCAATTTCTCAAATTAAAAAAGGCAGTTAAGTTACAAAGGCTTAGGACAGTGTGGTGAAACATTTTTTTTTCCTTTTACATCTACATGTAATAAGTGATTCATTATTTATGTATCCTAAAAGAAATTTCCAGTTAGCAAGAAGTTTAATGGATTACTTTGATATCAGTGTTTTGATTAAGTTTTGCTGAATGCAAGTTCATAAGGAATTAAATGGTGAAAATTTTTGCTTCCTGTCCTCCACCCCTATATTTTGTGTGGTCTGAAGTTTATATAATAGATTTTAGTAACTTTTATTTGAGATTCTCTTGTAGAGGCATGTGAATTATTGATAATTAGCTGGACTAATAGGATTCGTATTTTCTTTCCTACAGGACATCATGGTAGCCCATCAGGAGAAAAAACTTGCTGAAGAAATAAAACACCAAAACATGCAAAATTATAAAGCATCTCAAGGCCAGTGGGGAAGAGCATGGTGAGAGAAGTCAATGATCCTAAGTAGTCCTTGTATTTCTAATGTATTTCTAATTTCATTCTTACTCTTAGAGATGCTGTATTCCTTTTAAACTTCCCTCTACTAATAACAGATTTTTGTGTTGCCCTTCTCTGGAAGGCTCATGGGTAAATTGCTTTAGCAACAGGTGCTGAAGAAGAGTTCTTCAAGTTTTTTATGGCAGAGAGTTTTCCGGATGGCTTGGGTTAAAACACACTCCTTACAAAAAAACAAAAGCAAATCATAAGAATTGATAAAATTTCTGGTTCCTTCAAGGAAATAAAGATTTCCTGAAGTTTGGAAAACAGACATTCTGGCATCTGTGGCACTCCCAGCTGACAAGTCCTGTTGTTGCAAGATTTATGACTCATGTCCCAGTTCCCAAGGAGTTGGGCAGGTATTAGTAGGGCATTGTACTGCAGCTGGGAACAGCAACAGTGGCACAGAAAATTCAACATATGGCTGTCCAAGGTCTGTCTTTTCCAAGTTTCCAAGCCTTGCATAATGTTCTTGGGATTCCATTATCACTTCCAACTGTATATTCCACCAGTTAGAGCCATCAAGAAAAGTGAAGTCTGTAATAATAATCTGGTTTTTGGAGGGCAGATTCTGTCTAATCTCTTGCTCTGATCAACAAGCATAGTTTTAGTGCAGTTTGTGGCAAAGTATGTTCTGTGCTGAGCTTTTTATGGCTGTTTGACCCCCAGACATGTCTGTGCCCTGAGCACATTTTCAGTTTTCATCCAGTTAAGTCTAGAAGGTACATTGAAAAAATTTTCTGATGTAACTCATCTGCCTGAAACCTGGGGAAACAAAATGCTCTGTTTTGGATTACAGGGAGGTGGACTGGTTTTCCCTGGCAAGCATCCTTTTCCTGCTTATGTTTGCACCACTGATTGTGTATTACTTCATCATGTCCTGTGCCCAGTACCAGTGCTCTCTGACTGATCCACTGCTGGACTTGCTCACAGGGAATAAGCATCTGTCTGAAATCTGGAACAGGACTCCCATGCTTACCTATAAGGCTGCTGCCATTTATTCCATTTGGGTCGCTTTCCAGGTACATTATTGAGTTATATTCTGGATGCAGTGTCTGGTTTCTTCCACAGCTATTGGATGAATCCTTTTGCACAAAGGATGGTGGAATGTTGCACTGGCATTTACTCTTTGGCGTTTCAAAATTTCAAAGGTGTTTTGGATTCCAAATGAAGCCTACATGCTTGGAAAATAAGTAAAATGGGAATATACAGAAATATTCCTTGTGTGACATATTTCTTAGTGAGGTTTTTAAGAAAAAGCAGCTACCTAACAACAATACCCATTTGCTTTAAATTAATACATGAGAAATAAAATAAAATAAAAGAATGAGGATCTGAATGTAGTTACCAACTGTCCTGCCTCCCCACCAAAAAGGGATGACAGCCTTACATGAAATACAATTTTAGATCTGTAGAATAGTCTAAAATCACAACAGCTAAATATTGCCTTTTTGGCCTACCCAATACTTACTAGAAACTTAAGAGAAATGTTATATTTGGTATATGTATGTAAGCGATAGTGTTTTGAGGGGTTTTGTCTTGTCTGTATTTACTGTGAATACATTTTCTCCCTTTTAGGTGTTTTTGTACGTGTCCATTCCTGATTTCTGCCATAAATTTCTCTCTGGATATGTAGGAGGTGTACAAGAAGGTGCTATCACCCCTGCTGGTAAGGTCTTCCTTGGAATACATGCACACCATGCAAGCTTCTGAAATGATAGTATTTCTGTTCTTAGAGTCTTTTATAAACCCATGTGTAACCAGAGGAAATGTGGATATAAATGCTCTCACCTTCCTCACACGTTCAGTTCAAACAAAACTAGAAAGCAATCTAGGCCATCTTTTAGAATAATTTTTAGCATTTCTCTATCTTATAATGAATAAAACTGTTGATCTGGTAGGCACCACACCAGGAATGGAAAAGTATTGGTTGATAGCTGTGGCACTTAAAATTGTCAGTGGACTGTTGCTGGTATTTGACAAGATAGTTTGATCTGCTCAAGCTCCATTAACCCAAGGGACTTAGACAAAGTGTGTGATGTGAACTGTTACTGGTGGCTTGTTATTCTAGTCAGTTGTGGAGAAAGTCTAAATTCAGTTTGTGAGGAGAAAAACTCAGCCTAACAAAGCATAATGGGTACAGCAGAGTCTAATGGAACTTTCAGAAAATTGCCCCAAGGTATTGGGAGATGAGGAGAAAGAGGTCATTTCATGAGCAGTTGATTGAGCTTCTGTGTATTCTGTGCATACCCATATTAATTAAAAGCTGTATTAGTGCAGGGTAACTAACACTCCATTTTATCTTCACATTCTAGGTGTCATGAATAAATATGAAATCAATGGACTTCAGGCCTGGATCGTTACCCATGTGCTTTGGTTTGCAAATGCTTCTTACTTCCACTTCTTCTCACCTACCATCATTTTTGACAACTGGATTCCTCTCCTGTGGTGTGCCAATATCTTGGGATATGCAGTGTCCACCTTTGCAATGATCAAAGGCTACTTTTTCCCTACCAATGCAAAAGACTGGTATGTGGATTTTAGTAGTGAGAGAATACTAGGTATCAGAGATTAAAATTGTTAAATAAAAATCAGATATATAAATTGTATGATGGAGTATATTTCACTGGTACAGAGAGCTAAGCCAGTGTATGGCAGTGATTCTTTGCTTCACCAGCACGATCCCTTGTGTTTCATGCTGCATACCATGGGTTTGGCAGTCTCAGTGTCACAGATACACCCATCCTAAAAAAAGTTAGACTGTTCAGAAGTGTTACCAAGAGTATACTCAGGCACCTCTAAAATTCTACAATTTATGTCTACTGATGAAAACTTTGGTCAGGTCAGTTTGTGTTATCTTGCATGATGTTACATGGTTTTATGATTTTTATTATAACTACATCAAATTAAACTGAATTGTGTAGTCAGAATAGCAATTGCCTGTATTTGTATATAACTGTGTGCATTTCTCATTTTTTTTACAGCAAATTCACTGGCAACTTTTTTTATGACTATATGATGGGGATTGAATTTAACCCTCGAATAGGGAAGTGGTTTGATTTCAAGCTGTTCTTCAATGGGCGCCCTGGGATTGTGGCCTGGACTCTAATCAACCTTTCCTTTGCTGCCAAACAACAGGAGCTGTACGGTGAAGTGACAAACTCCATGATCCTTGTCAATGTGCTCCAGGTAAATTCTGAGGAGGAAATTAAGAAACAAGTTTGGAAATAAGCTAATATGAAAGTAAGAAAAAAACTCCTTCCATGGAAAAATGAAACTGAAGCATTTTTTCATGGCCTGAAACAAGCTCATTCAGTGATGGGACTTCTTTGCATTTATTCCCTGATCTGTGTAAATGGAAGCCTGCTCAGTAGAAATTATATCCCTCCTCTTTGTAACCCTGTGACTCTAAGCTGAATGAAATCAGGGTCGGTTGTGATTTCACTTCCCAAGTGTTTGTCCTTGAGTTGTACACTTGCCTTAGTCATCCTATTGCTTTATCTGTCTAGAGAGATAGATATTGTGTATCCAGGTAGGTTGTATTTATGTGATAGTTCTTCTTAACCGTGTTCAGAAATGTCTGGTTTTGAAGTGCTAACATGAAAACACCAGTGAATTTTGAAATCATATCACACGGTAGCACAGACATTAGGCTAATGCTGTTAAACAGGGTAACTGCTGACAGTGCTCCATAATTAATGTGAAATTATTCTGTTGCAGGGTATTTATGTTCTGGACTTCTTTTGGAATGAAGCCTGGTACTTGAAAACCATTGATATCTGCCATGATCATTTTGGATGGTATTTGGGCTGGGGAGACTGTGTTTGGTTGCCTTATCTCTACACTTTGCAGGTAAAAATATGTAATACACTGTGTATTTGTGCTAACAGGAGTGAAACTTTCCAGAAACATTCTTTCTAGCAGTTTAATTTGTACCCGAAGTGTTTCTATGTAGTCCCACTCTAGAGAAATTATTTCAACATTCTTTTAACAATTCTCCTATAGGAAGGCTTCCTGTCCCTGCATGGATTTGACGTCTTTACCTCTCCTGGCCTTCTTTTGTGCCTGTTTCTGTCATTGATGATTGTGGCTGCATACTTTTCTAAATCCTTTCAGTTTCCTTTCTTTTTATTCCTGCTTGTTGAGGGTCTTCTGGTTAGTGGTGGCATGTTTGGGTTTTGTTCCTTAGGTTTTCCTTCTGTCCAGTTTGCATCCTTGCAACTTCTCTCTTCTTGTTTCACGAAGAAGTGCAACTTTGGAGTGAGAAAGAGAAAAAGAAACTCTAGGATGCAGAGTTTTCTGAAAGTTTTGTGCAGTTTTACTATTGCAGTAGATTGTTCTACTCCCTTCTTCTAGTCTGTTATGGATCACTGTAGTCAAGGAATTGGTCTGGCATGCTGAGCCTATGTTGGAATTAATGGCTGATTGTTTTTGTGCTCCCCAGGGTCTGTACTTGGTTTACCACCCTGTCCAGCTGTGCACAGCTCATGCTGTAGGGGTCCTGACGTTGGGCTTGCTGGGTTATTTCATCTTCAGAATGACCAACCACCAGAAGGACCTGTTCCGTCGCACCAACGGCAACTGCAGGATCTGGGGGAAGAAGCCGGAGTACATCGAGTGCTCCTACACGTCTGTGGATGGCACCAAGTACTACAGCAAGCTGATGACCTCGGGATTTTGGGGCTGGGCACGTCATTTCAACTACACAGGAGACCTGATGGGCTCGCTGGCCTATTGCCTGGCTTGTGGCTTTGAGCACATACTGCCTTACTTCTACATCATTTACATGACCATTCTGCTCACCCACCGCTGCATCAGGGACGAGCACCGTTGCAGCAGCAAGTATGGGGAGGACTGGAAGCGCTACACTGCTGCAGTGCCCTACCGGCTCCTACCCAGGATATTTTAAGGCTAACCCAGGATGCAGGGGAAGGAAGAAAGAAGAAATATGCAAGCACGCCATGTTTAAAGTAACTGAAGTGAGGCCCTGATCTGCCCCATTTTTTTAGAAGACTCTTTCAATTGGATTATCCCTCTGAATCACCCCATTTCCAAATTAACTTGGAGTTTAAGAAAAGATGCATGTATTGAGACTCCTGAGAAATCCCAAAGCTGGGAGTTGGCCTTACCCTTGATGTTAGCAGGGTTCTGGAAGCAGTTTGCAGTGCTTCAGGAGAGAAGAAAAGAGTTCTGTCATCTCTTTAGGAAAGAAGTTTTCTGATGCAGCTGCTTGTGGCCATTAGAACCTGCAATTGAGAACAGCTGCAAAGGAGGTTTGATTGTTGATTTCTTGTCAAAGATGAACGGTGGAAAGAAACTGGTTTGAAATAACTTATCATCTAAAACAAAAGTGAAAACTTATAAATTAGTGCAGTTTTCAGCACCTGACAATAGAGAACATGACCAACTGAGTTTTATTTTGCTACTGAAACCAGACTTTGTGAAGCTACTGAGCTGAGCTACTTGGACTGGAGTAGTTAATTTTTTTCCTAGTAGCTGGTATGGGCATAGTTTTGGATTTGAACTGAGACAGTGTTGATAACACAGGGATGTTTTCACTACACCTGAGCAGTGTTTACACATCATCAAGGCCTTTTTTTGCATCTCACCCCACCCACCAGGGAGTGGGCTGCGTGAGCACAAGAAGCTGGGAGGGGACAAGGGCAAGACAGCTGACCCCAACTGACCCAAGGAATATCCCAGGCCATATGGCATCATGCTCAGTATATAAAGCCAGAGGAAGAAGGAAGTGGGGGATGTCAGGAGTGATGGTATTTGTCATTCCAAATCACCATTACATGTGGTGGAGCCCTGCTTTCCTGGAGATGGCTGAGCATCTGCCTGCAGGTGGCAAGTGGGGAGTAGATCCCTTATTGTGCTTTGTTTGTGTGCAGTTTTTCCTTTACCTATTAAACCATGTTTATCTCAAGCGTGAGTTCTCTCCCTTTCCTGATTCCTTCCTACATCCCACTGTGGGGGAGTGAGCAAGCAACTGTGTGGGGCTGAGTTGTCAGCTGAGGTTAAACCATGGCAGTCCTTTTTGGTGCCTGACATGGAGCTTGAAGGGTTTGAGGTAAGAGCAGCTTTGACTGGAATGTGCTGGATTGGATTTATAGCTGTGGGTGCTGTTGAGTCATCAGGCTCCTGTGCTTGTCATGGGGCTCATTAGGGGTTTCATTTTGATTTTGCTGCTGGCTGTAGTGTTTCTCTTCTCCCTGTGCTATACCTGGGGACGTGGTGACACACCTGGGCTGGCAGGCGGCCAGGGTATCGCTGCTGATTTTGTGCTGCTGGAACTCCAGTGTGAGCTCCAGTCGAGGGAGCTGTGACCTGTGGATGAGCCCAGAGAGAAGCAAGACCCCTGCAGGCATCCGTGGCTGGGAATAAGCCCATGGCAGAGCAGGAATCTCTCAGAGCATCTGTGGCCATGGTTATGTCCTTGCCCAAGAAGGGATTGTGGCCTAGGGATAAACCTGAAGCCTCTGTGACTGGGAATTAGGCCATGCTCAGCAGGTAGCCCTTGAAACATCAGTGCCTGTGCATGGGGTCGTGCTGGAGCATCTCAGAGCCATGGCCATGGATGAACCCCTGGCAGAGCAGTTACAGCCTTGGGGGTACTGCAGCCATGGGTAAGCCACATCCATTTCTTTAGTGGGGATGGAAAACTTAATTCCCTATAGTTTGTATAAAACCATGTTTGTAAGAATTTAAGGTTCTTAATTCTTAGTTTCAGGACAAATAAAATTCTACTAATTTCCACTCAGCTATTTCTTTTCTTGTTACATGGGTATCTTTCAGAGTGAATAAAGCATACAAAAGGCACTCTTAAAAATGGATTTCAAGAGCTGAATTTCAAGAGCTCGTTGGAATTCTGTTTTTCAAGGTGAACCAAATAAAGAGTGGTGGAAAAACTCCTCGTGTGGTGGAAAAACTCCTCCAACCCATGCTTCCCAAGAAAGGCTCAGTAGTCCCTTGTTGTTTGGTCTCGTGGTTGTTTATTGCAAGTTATCTAAAAGATTGTTTTCTCGGGCTGCTGTGGTTTGCTCAACAGCTCAGGCAAAGACACACACACCCCTGACATCCTCTCTGTCTGCCGTCGTCTTCTTCTCTCCTCCCTCCCAGGGCTGGTGCTATCTTTTATATGTACATTATGTGTTAATGTGTTTATAGTTTTTCCCCAATGCCTATTACCTATATTAAGTGGTGCCTTTCTTACTAAACCAATCTGTGAGTGCCAACATCACCAAGAACATGGAGGTAAAGAAGAAGAAAGAGGGAGGACAGGGCAGGCCCAAATCCCTCCATCTTAAAACTTCTGACCCCCATGTACAAAACTTAAAAACTGCCCTGTACAAGACTTAAAACCCCCCTGTACAGCACTCAAAAATTCTTCCTTTTATTTTGTGACTACTTCTACTATAATATCTAAACTTTTCTGACCTCTTGTTCTTCCTGCAAGGTTGGTAAATCATTCCATGGTTCAAACTCAAAATCACAGCTGTTTCCAGCTGCCTGCCAGGGTCTCAAATGTTTCTGACGTGGGCCTGGAACATCCAAAAATGTCTGAGGGACATTTTGAGTTCCAGCATAAAATAGAATTAGAAATCTATGTATAGAAATATATAATAAATACATTAAGATCTATTTTAAAATTTTAAATGTAAGTAAATATAAGTATTAGCAGTATATATGCAATATAATATAAAGAATAATTTATCTATCTTGCTACCTTATATATTATATCTATTTATAAATATAATACATCAATATAAAGTAGAAGTTACAGGCAGGGTTTTAATTGAAAAAATATCAATATGCATGTTATTTTTATATAATTCTAAATATAGACATATATAATCAATGTATACAGATATATATATAAATACAAATAAAAATAAGTATTAGGAAGAGAGAGAATATAAATAACACCATACATCAATCTACGTTTAAAATATACATTTGAATATAAATGTGAAAAATATAGATAAATTTAAACACAGTTTAAAAGAAAGGGGTTTTTTTAGATTTTGACTTATAGAGAGACAGGAGTTTATTTTAAGCTGAATATAGAAATGTGTAATCCATATATTAAAATATGAAAAAATATAAAATGTAATAAAATATAATAGGAATAAATGTAAAAAATTATAAAAATATAGTTCTACATCAATGTACATTATATGTCAAAATGTTAACATAGATATGAAAAACATAAAAATAAAATATATTGAAAAATAGTTTAAAAGAAAAAGTTTTTTCTTTTGGTTCTTATTGGGTTAGAGGCCGGGGTTTTTTTTGTTGGTGTTTTTTTCCGTGCGGGATGTTTTGGAGCATTTCTTGCCGAGGATGTTTCGGAGGGGATCGCGCCTTTTCTTTTTTGCTGCCCTCCCCGCCCGCGGCCCCGAGGCGAGCGGCGGCCCCGGCTGTGGCGGGCGGCGGTGCTGCCGCCGTGTGGGCAGAGGGCGGTACTGCAGCCCCCCAGCAGCGCCCTGCCCCTCGCCGCTGGGTGCCGGGGTGGGAAGGGTGAGGGGCGGGAGCGAGCGGCGAGCGGGCCGGTGTCTGTAATAGAGGGGCGGGTGAAGGAGATTCAGCGGTGCAAAGGGATGCGGTGACTGGGAAGAATGGCAGCGGTGAGGGCGGCCCGGTGGGGCCGGTTTTGGCGGGCGGCGGAGGCGTGGTCACAGCCCTCACGGGCCGGGTGTAGTGTGTGGGGGGGCAAGCGGCATCGGAACAGGGCTGCGCCCCCTTTCCCAACCCCCGCGCGTCCCTCTCCAGATACCGGGAGCGACCGCTGCCGGAAAATCCCGCCGGGGCTGCGTGCGGGCGGCGGAGCGGGGCGCTGGCTTTACCCACCCCTCCTGCCGCCCTCCTTGGAATGGTTTGAGGCAGTATGGGTTTATGGAGTTAGGAATAATTATTTTTGTTGTTGTTAATTTAAGGTGTTTTTTGGTTTTTTTTTTTTTGTTTTGTTTTTGGTTTTTTTTTTGTAGTTTGATGTATTTGGTTTGTAGAGCAGGGACTGTAGACGGAATCCTGCAGAAGTAATATGGAACTTGTCCTCCTAAAATCCACCCGGCTTCCAGCCCCTTTTAGCACATGGTCTTCCTTAGCAGAGCATGGTTCCCCTATACTTGAGAGCTGGTGCACTTAGTTTTCTCTCCACTTTTGCTGACAGATCCTGCTGAAGCTGATGACAAAGCCCTACCCCTACAAAGACAAGGCAGCAGACCTGGTTCAGGAAGCCAGTGTGGTCAACAGGACTCTGATAACATCAGCATCCCTGTCTCTCACGTTGGTGGTATGTGGTATCCCCTTAACAACAGAATTCCACGACTTGGGGCTATGTTTTCTAACCCTAAGCAGCAAACTGGGGATGGATAACCATAGAAATCCTGTTATGTGAGGACCTCCAGGATTCAGCCCTCCATGTACTTGGTATCAGAAGTTGGAATTGCAAAGTTACTACTTTACCCCCAAACATAATTTTTGATGTGGTTGTGCCACTTTAATAGTATTTAAAATCTCTCTTCATGCTCTTGCAGCAGCATTTTAGAACTAAAATTGAAATTTAGTCCTTCTGCCTGGAGCTGTTCATAGAATCATAGAATCCCAGAAGGGTTTGGATGGGAAGGCATCTTTTTTTAAAGCTCATCCAGTTCCACCCTCTGCCATGGGCAGGGGCACCTTCCACTATCCCAGGGTGCTCTAAGCCCTGTCCAGCCTGGCCTTGGACACTTCCAGGGATCCAGGGGCAGCCACAGCTTCTCTGGGCAGCCTGTGCTGAACAGCAGCATTGAAAGGCAGAGTGAAGCTCTCAGTACAGCTGTGATTTTTGTGCTGCACTTAACATTGTATTGCCTGACAAGTGTGCCTTTGTTTTGGGGGTTTTTTGTTTGTTTGTGGGGTTTTTTTTTTTGTTTGTATGTGTGTGTGTTTGGGGTTTTTTGTTTGTTTGGGTTTTTTGTGGTTTTTTGGTTTTTTTTTAAACTAAGAGGATACCTTGTGTTCCTGGAATGTTGCATTCTACCTCAGTTCTTTTTCCAGTTACTCTGGATCCTCTGCTTACATTTTTTCCTTCACTTATTAGATGTCCTGGGTATGGTGGATGTTCTGATTGAGGGCAGTGATGGCTTAGATGAAGAAATTGGGTTCTCTTTAAATGAAGACATGATTATCCAAACATTTCCCTTCAGTGCTGTTGTCCCTGCTGCATTAGAAGCCAGGAATATACTGTTGCTTCAGTCTGAAAATCGAACAGGTACAGATTTTTTTTTGTTTTATGTGTCATTTCTACCAGTGGAGTGAAAGTGGCATCATTTCTACCATTTTTTACCATTTATCATTTTTTAACTTGAGACATTTTATTATCTTCCCTGCAAGCAGAAGGAGGTGCAGATTCATGATGTTTTGTGCTCAAGAGAGGTATTGAAGCTCTGTAGGTGCTTCTGCCCTTTTCCCCTGACCCTAAAGAGAAGGGGCACTGTCCCTGCATGGACAATCTTGGTTCTAGAAGTAGTTGGCTTCAGTAACACTGTGTTTTAAGGACAGACTGTGGCGATCAGGAGAGGAAGGTGGTTCCCATGCCTGTAGGGAGAGAGGACTGCATTGTTAAGTAGGAAATGGATGCGTTTCCCAAAGAAAACTTCAGAAATTAAGCTCTAGGGGCAAATACTGCAACGTGTACCACCTCCTAGGGAAAAGCGTTAAAATCACAGGGGCACCAGGTGGGCTTGGAGCAGGATTGGCCAACCCCACAGCACCTCACGGAGGTGTGTATTTGGCAGTCGAGTAGCACCTGGGTTGTACTGAAAGTCCCAGTTCTGACAGAAAATTCTGTTTAACTTGTACACGTTAGCTGGGTGTGTCCCCCCAGTACAACTCGGTTCTTCTCTGAGGTGGTGCTTGGAAGGGTCTCTCCCTGTTAAGAGACAGGCATGTTTAGCACAGCACAGTGAAGGTGGATTTCTCAGGTACCTCGGTGGTCAGGAGCACATGTCTAGGTCACTACAAACACTTTTTGATCTTATTCAGTTCTTTTCTGTGTGATGCTCTGTGGGCTGCTGCGAAGGTCCAGAGTAAGGAAGGTTGCCCCAGTGTCCATGCTCATGTCAGTAGTTTAATTTATTTTGCTTCTAGGAGCAGACATGGTGGAGTACCTTGGTGCTGTTTTCACTGACCTCCTGCACTCTCTGAGAGAACCCCTTGCTCTCTGCTTGGTGTTCCAGCTCTATGACAAAGATCTCAAGTCCCTGAAAGTTGCTAAGTATCTTCAGCTCTACCAGTTTAACCGATACTATAAACTCTGGATAGCCAAGCAGTCCCAGGAACCTGTGGTATGGAATACCTGAAGTCACTGAATTCTTGAGCCAGTATTCCTTTAAAATCCTCACAGCTTATAGGTGTTACATTTCCATCAGAAACAGCATTTTTATTGAGCTAATTCTGCATTTCCTTATTGATCACATTGGGACGCACGTTTACTCCAGGGCTTTTCCCTGATGACACAAAAGGTCTTTGTGGCGTTTGGGAGGCGATACCAGGGCTCAGGGGTCATACAGAGACTCCTCACCAGGCACAGCAGAGCCTGGTGTGTGCTGTGGCCTCTGTTTACAGTGCCTGGGGTTCTCCTGGGTGGGTGGAGGATCACGGGCCCCTGGGCTGGGTTTGGTGAGTTTTTCTCAGTTCAGCAGTGTGAACACTCCAGAAGCCCCTGGGAGCACTGCTGGACAGCTCTGTTCTAGCAGGACTGCACGCTTGTGTTCCTTGAGCTTCAGTTCAGAGCTCATCTCAAAACAAAGGTGGCTGAAGAGACTTTTGTTTCATACTCATCACTGTTTTTCTCTTATGCTTTTTTTATGCTTTAAACAGTTTAGAAACCACAAGGAGGTAAGCCAAGAGCCTCCTGTGGCACTGGATTCTGTATTTGCTATTTTGCTGAAGGAAGCCTGTGAGAGAGGAAATAGTACCTTACTGGAAGATGGTGTTCAGACAAAATGGAGAGACTTGACTTCCTGGCTTCCCACCTGAGCAGCTTTTGTTGGGAGTAAAGCACGTGCTGCTGCACCTGAAATCCACAGTGGAGAACTTCAGCAGTGTAAGAGCAATATTGTAATAATATTGTAATTATGTTTGGTTTATTTTATGGTAGAAGGTACAAATGACTTGGCTGTTAAAACTTAGGTTCCAGTTCTGTAGCTCTTTTATCTCTACTTGGCTCTGAGGGTACATAGCACCATACAAAACTGCACCTAATTTGTAAACAAATGTCAGTTGTTCTGATTATTGAAGAGTGTTGGATTTACTTTGCATGGGTTAGCTTTCTGATCAGTGTGAGCGCAAATAAACTCAAGATTTTAATCCAACTCTTGGATCTCCCTGAGAAACCTTTCCAGAGAGTAAAATTCACTGGCTTGTGTAACTCCAAATGTCACGGTATAAATGAAAAACTACCAGTATTTATTTGGCAACCTGAGACTTCTCTTAGAATGAGGTTTCTACATAGGGAAGTGGTTCCTTCCCCAAGAAGAGGTTGAAATCTAAGTAGTTCTTAGTTAACTCCTGTTTCTGTTGGATAATTACCCTTCCGCTCCCATTCTCCTCTTTTCTTAACTTCTGAGATGCCTTTATTTTCATGGGTTGGTAAAACTGTGGGTTCTCAAGTCGTTGACCTCTGTGTGGACATTCTGAGCATCTTGTTGTGCTGGGGCAATCAGATAAAGCTGGATCATCAACAGAAGCGGGAAGAGCATCAGGCTGTGTCGATCTCTTTATGGATGCGGAGTCTCTGATGACAGAACTGTTCTCAAATGACAAGGTACCAAATCCCTTGGTACAGAGGCACATATTAGTAAACTTTGATTGATTCTCTAGGGAATAGTTGGGCTGAACAGAGATGCTGTTAAGGTCTTGGAGGAGAATTTAGGAACATAGAGCATGTGGTCCAGCAGTTGCAAAACTACTGTCTGGAGATGTGACCCAGCTGCATCACCCACAGTCTCATCCCTGAGCTGGAACACAGTCAGGAGAGGTCCTGAAAGAGATCACCTTTGCAGAAAAAAATGTATTCCCTCAGCCCTGTTTAAAGCCTTGTTGTGAAAATTATGTACTTGAGGAATGAGTTTTTCCCCCTCTTTCATCTGTTCTGTGAATTTGTGGAGATTAGAATGTGTTGATGAACCCTAGAATATTCAGTTTTCCTCCAGAGGTGAGCTTAGACATATTTAGAGTGTTCACTATAACAGCATAAATGTTGGGAGAATGATATTTATATGCTTGTAATTCATTAATATTTTTTTATCCTCTGGCCAGCCAGTAGACAATTTCATGTTCAATAATTGGAATTGACAAGCTGTGGAAAATAGGCAGATGAATCAGTTTCTTTATTTGCCCTGCACTGTGATTATCCATCCATTGATACCGTTTCCTCTCTTTGTTACAGACACTGGAGGATACGCTCACCTTGATTTTCAGACATCCTACGCTGGAGAGCTGGTTCCTGGCCTTGGAGCTGCGCTCTATTCCTCAGCCTGGTTTGAACCCTGTCACTGTGAAGCTCCTGTCAGCTCACCTCAATTCCGGGGTGCTCCAGCTGCTGAAAACAGGTGCCCCCATCATGCAGAGCATCACAACGGGTCACAGACATGTGTTGTCCGAGTATTGCGAAGCAATCACCAAAAGTGTCCTGGAAGAGCTGCAGACTGTGGGGAAGGACAGAAGCCAGGTCTGTCCCAGGAAGTCTCACCAGCTGCACGCTCTGGAGGAGCTGCACATGTACATGACTGCAGCTCAGCTGAATGAGATCATTCAAACCATGCTGCAACTTCCTGAGATGAGCTTGACTGATCAGAAATCAGAAAAATCCCCTAAAAAAGGGAAACAATTAAACTTCTACGGACAAATTTTGGTGCAGCTCCTTACAGACAGCTACCAAAGGCATCCGCAGCAAGGAGAATTTCTGCTATCCACAAAGCATATTAAAGCTTTGGGGATATTGATGTCAGCATCGGCCAGCAAAGGTTTGGAGGAAGTTTTCCTTCAGGCTCTCCAAAGTGAGCCAGTCCTTGCTCTTGTAGTTGGTGTCCAGGTTCAGGCTCAGTGCCTTGCCCAGTGCTCACACACCTCCCTGGCCATTGTGGCCGAGCTGATCCTGCAATCCAGGACTCACCTGCTGTAATTTGAGCTCTGGTGTCTCAGCAGTGCCACTGGGAAGTACCTCAGGAAACACACGGCGAGCTTTCTTCCGTTCGTTAATGTGTACTTGCAAGGCAGAGAGCAGTATGGTTTCAGCCGACCTTCCACAAGTAAAGGCACTGCTGAGCCCTGCTTGTGATCAGGAGGCTACATTCCCTGTTTAGGTTCTGCTGGAATATTTACACAATAGGTAAAGATATAAAACTTAGATGTCTGACCTCTAATGACTGTCTTGGAAGTACCTCTGCAGCACTAAAGGTGAAGAGCTGTTCTGATGGTTGGCTGTTAGACTGAAGCCAAGTGCTCTCGCAGTTACTGCTGCCCAGATTTCTCTTTTGAAGACCTTATTTCATGCTTAGTGCATGTGAAAATCTCTCTTTGTGCTTCTCTTGGTTTAGTGCAGGAGCTAAAACCTTTTGCTCAAGCACGGATAGAAGAGTCTGGACTGTGTAATACCAAGGCCAGGTGGTTTTTCCAGAACCTGAACTTTCAGTTTTATGGAGTCCAAAAATTTGTTCTTAAGCAAATCTCCAGCTGTGGTCTGACTACAGTAATGTCCTTCTGAGCTGGCAGTCCAGAACTTTCCAAACCCACAGCAGCATTACATCTATGGACAAGTGTGTTTAATCTCTGCCAGCAAAACAATGAGTTAGGATTCAACTGGGTAGAACACGATCACTTTAATTTCATTTCTCTTATTGCCCAGAAATATCAATAGCAAAGGAAACAGGCTGACTGGGGCTGTAGCTCTACCTACAAGGTCAAGCAGCGATAAGGCCTTGTCAGCACCCTGGGAAGTAGAGGATGGGTAAAGAAGTGAGCCTCTGTGTAGCACTTCTCTGTAACAGATTAGCAGCTGCTGTAGCATCATTTCATAGACATTGAGTAATCTGGGCCTGGATTAGAAAGTGATTTGGGATTAGTGTGTTAACAGCTGCAGGTGGAGGAACCTGAGCCTTCTGCTCTCCCCACAGTTGTCTCGGCTGTCACACCTGTCCTGAGGAAGAAGCTCTGTGCCGGGATTCAGGACACCGGAACGTCACCTGAGGCCACTGTGAAACTGCAAATTCTTTCCAAGGTGTTGCCACCTCCGGGAAGCAAAGGGCTGCACAACCTGATGGACTGCCTTCCTGCTGCTCCGGAGAGAGCAGGGAATGGAGAGAGGTGGGCAGTGTGTGTGTGTGTGTGTGTGTGCCTCCCCCAGGGCTCAGTTTGTCCTGGGAATCAGTGTGATAGGAATGGGAGCATTAACAGCATCCTCTCCTCCGAGAATCTGTTGCTTTGCACTTTGGCAGCAAGACATCTTTAAGATATACAAAACCAAGTTAAAATGTTAATAAGAAAATCAACAGCTATCTCTCTGCAGCTGGGCCGTGGCAGATGCCATATCCACGGTGCTTAAAAACTCAGAGGAGCTGCATTCCTGGAGGAGACATCTCTTCTCAGCCTGCATAAAGGGGTTTGTTGCCATGTACAGCAGCAGTAAAGATGAAGGCAAGCAAGAAGTGGAGAGGCCCATGCTGCTGAGGCTAGAGGAATTATTGGTGAGACTGCTTATCTGCTTTGCCACAGAGGGACTGTATGCATATGTGTGATTGGGCAGTTGTAGATTTTGTAAATACAGATTGGACTCGATTTCCTGTTTTATGGATTCTGGTTTCCATGGAATTTTCATAGCTTTTTCCGAGTCCTGAGAATCCTTTATACGAGGCAGTTTTATGTTCTTGATGATGGCTTTCTGGTACGAATCCCCTTTGAATGTAGGAATTTGAGCTATTTAGGAGTAAGAAATCAAAGGTTACCAGTGGATTTTTTTTAAAAATTAAGTTAAAATTAATTAATTAAATTATTATAAATAAATTAATTTAATTTTTAAAATTAAAGTTATCACCTTCTTTTTTAAAAGAGGCTGATAGAGATACTTGTGCCAAGACCCATCTGCCATGCCATCTGAAGTCTGGGGCAAAAGTCTGGTTGATCAGGAATAGAAATCAGACTTTGATCTTGAAGAACACTACTTGGTCACTCCCTCTGTATACTGTTGCCTTGGTTTGAGTTCAGTGAACACGGATCCCTGTGACACGCAATACTGAAGGTCTCAGGGCAGTGAATGCCTTTGCGCTCTCATGGCTTTTGCTGAGACTCCCTTGTAGGACCTGGCTGACTCTGCAGGCCCTGGGGCCACCTCACACCGTCCATCCCATCCTGAGGGTGTTTCCAGCCTGGCGAGGTTGGCACCTGCATTCCCAGGACTGTTGGGATGTGCAGCTGTCAGTCTGCTCCAGGCTCTCGCTTTGACTTGTCAAGTTGCGAATCCTTTTGCACTTGAGGAGTTTGAAGAGTATTGAGCCGCTGGGTTTTTGGAACCTACAGCCCAGCTTGCTTTTTGATTCCATACAGCCCCTGCTCCCAGACCAACAAGTTTCTTTTGAGCCAGGAATTAGGATTGTTGTATCCAAGAGCTTTTTTCCCTGTTACCCTCAGATCATCCCACGTGAGCGTTTGGCTTGCGTGTTCTTAGTGTGTCCCTTGAACAAAAATTGCTGTAGAAGCTCCATGTGCCAAATGTAAACCAACACCTGTTTTTACTTGCTGCACACAGTGCGTGGTTGAAGAAGTGGACCCAGATGACTGGTGTGACCTTGTGAAGACAGGGCTCAAGTAAGTGCTTTCATTTGAATTTGGTTTGGTTTCACCAAGTTCATTTTCTTTGCCAAGTTCTCATTTCTTACCCAACTTGTAGCTTCAAGTGGGTTTTCTTGGGTTTGGTTACAGTCTGACTTCTCTGTGATCCTTCTCCCAAAGGTACCGTTACAGAGATGAAACATTTCTGAAGGTCCTGAACGTTGCCATCCAGTTACTATACATGAAAGAATCCTCACTTAGAGCGTAGTCAAGCTCTCCAAACTACACATGGTGGTCACACAGCACTCTCCATTTTTGGCAGCCATCCTGAGGTCAAGAGAAGAAGATGGCATGAGCGTCCAGACAAGAGGTATTTTTTAATCATCTTCTTCCCATCCTAAACACAGCTAATCTTCTCTTTCTTGCATTATATTCTCTCCATCCAGTAACACATCCACCCATCTAAATACTTGCAGAGTTATTAGCAGTTCCAGAATACTGGCATTTAAATTGTACCTCTGCTTGGATCCAAATGTTACATTCATTTTATGCTGGTTTTAAAGACTTCTGTTTTTAAAACTAGTGGAAAGGTGGGTTTGGGTTTTTGTTTGCTTATTTGTTGTTCTGGTATTTTTAACCCAGCTGAACTCTTGGATTTATTCTTTTGGTTTCTGAGGTACTTAGTGTAAGATTACTGAAGTGCACATAGACCCTGTGATGTTTAAGCCTTGGCTACACGTGGCACAGGCTTCTGAAAATGGAAATGGCCTTGGCAGAGTAGCAGCTGTGAAGCGAAGCAGAATTAAAATGCATGTGAGCAGAAGAACCAAGTGAAATGGTACTTCTGGGTGCTGTGTGCTCCTCTGGCTTCTGCCTGCTGTGAACACTTTGTGTTGCAGCTCAGTGTAGTCCAATTCAATGTTTGTTTGGTTTGATTTTTGTGTGTAACAAAAACACTGCTCACTTACTCTAAACAACTTCCCTCCTTTACTGGACACATCCTGGAGTGGGACCAGACTCCCCCTCACCCTGGAGGAATTCCCTGCTCCTCTGGAGAGGGGTGAAGCCAAAGCTTAGGAGCAAAGGCAAACCACCAAACCAGAGGCATTTTATATATATCCAAATAAGGGGCTCTGTCTTCCTGCTTTTCCTGTAGTTCTCCTTCCTGGTTTCACCTGGCCTGGAAGGATGGGCATGGCCTGTATTTATCAAATGAAAATGGTGTTACTAAATCTGTCCAGAAGTTCTGATTACAGACACTCATTTTCTGCCAGAAAACATTTTCATTTCATTCCTTTCACCCAGGATGCTCTCTGTGGTCTCAGACAGTGTTCCCTGGGAGGAAGGGCAGCCTTTGCCTTGCCTGCACAGCTCAGGTGGGTGTGACAGAACTGGTGTGTCCTGACAAGGCGTGAGCAGCTGTCTGTGCACTGGAGTGCCTTGAAACCTTTCTCTGTGAGGTTTTGGACACGTTTCTCTTTGGGATTTCTTGTGACACAGCACCAGGTGCCCCTTCCTTTGTATAAAGTCCCGTGGTAAAGGATTGAATGACGGACAAGTGGGGCCTGGGATAAAAATGGTTCTGTTAAAATTAGGCTAAGAATGGAATAGAGAAATGAGCTTCCTTTTAATGAAATAGTTAGGAATAAAACTGCTTTTATATTTGAATTGGTGTCCCCTCTCACGGATAAAACCCCATGGTGAGCAATCACAGCAGAAGTGTGAAAGCCTGGATCCTTTGGCTTCCACAGTGGACTTAATGTTCTTTTCCTCCTCTCTTTCAGGACAGGAGAAATCATTAAATTCCTCCCATCTTTGCCAGAAGCTTCAGTGTTTAAGCAGCCAGAGCCAAGAGGCTTCAGCACCAGGGGTGTGCGCTGGAGGGCTCCTGGTCCTGCCCACGCTGTGGGGTAAGTCAGAGGGACGCAGGGTTCCCCTTTTCCTCTCTGCTGGGATTAAGTGCCTCGGGAATGCCATTTTTGACAGCCCAGCCCTACCCCTGTGTGCTGGGAAAGGGCAGGAGGGAAGAGGCAAATGCCAGAGTTCCTTGGGGCTGACGGAGTTGTGGTGTTTGGCTGTGCCCAGGGGGGCAGGCTGGGCATTGTTCGGGCACCCAAGGACTGGTCTGGGGCTGGGAGCCCGGGGAGCCGAGCTCTCGGTGCATTCCCAGCTCTGCCAGCTGCTGCAGGGCTGGGTGCCAGCCTCTGCTGGGGCTGGGGCAGGAACTGCAGGGCAGGGCTGGCAGGATTTGGGAGCAGAGGGAGGAAAATGAGGAACGGTGCTGGGCAGCGCTCAGCCTGTGCTGGTGTCAGCGCAGCCGTGCAGGGCGCCGGGATCTGGGTTCAGCTCCGGCTCTCCTGGGGTTCAGGGTGCAAGGTCGGAGGGACTGGGTTTATCTGTGGCTTTCCAGGCCAGCAGGAACAAGGGGAATGTGGTGCCAGAGCTGTGTCCCATCGGGCTGCGCTTCCCTCTGAGCACAGAGAGTCTGGGCTGAGGGGAGATTGCTGCGAGTGCCCCGTGAGCAATCCAGGGAACTCGGAATTGCATCGCTGCTGGGAACACTGCCTGAGCTCTGCTCAGGCTGTGTCTGCGAGGAGTGGGATTTGGGCTGCAGAGCTGCTGCTGGGCACAGAAAATGGAGTAAATCCTCTCCAGGGACGTGCAGTGAAGGACAGTGCAGCAGGGAAGGGGAGTATTTACAAACTATATCAGTATTTCTCCCAAAACTGGGAGAAATGGGGTGGAGCAGAGATGGGGGTGGTTTGCTTTTGTCTGGGCCGGTTATTCCTTGTGTAATGTTTTAAATCTGTTGTATGATTTACTATCCAATATCCTTCTAACAAAAGCTGACAGAAATTTAGGTTCAGGGTTAGAAGTTGGGTCCATTCACTGCAAAACCTTGCCCAGGCTGGAGGACTGGGGTGATGGCTGCTCTCAGCAAATGTTACCTATGAATACTGTGTCAGATTTCCCTCAATGCTGGGCGGGACAGGTGAGGTTTGGATCAGGAATTCTGCAAACAAGGCCTGTGTGATGTTGGTTTATTGTGTTTTTCAGGGAGCCAGGGCTGGCACAAGGACTCGTGCAGGTGCTGCTCTGGCACCGGAGCTGTTGCCCTGTGGAGCCATTTTAAAGGTGTGATTATGGAACATTTTGGAGGCTGTTTCTGGAATTCCATTTGTAGCTGGATCTCACTCCGAGTGCAGCAGTCCAGGCGAGGGTTCTGACCTCTCCAGACTTGTGCTCACCTTGGTACAGCCCGGGGCTGGAGCAGTTTTCCAGGGAAGTGGAGATGGCTGAGGATGGGTGCTCTGGAAAGCAGGGACCTGCTGGGATTTGCATTTGCAAAGCTGCCGTGAAGTTTGTAAAACCAGCAGGAAATTCTAATTCCTGTGGTTTTTGGGCAGGAGGTGCAGGTCACCCTGAGAGCTAGATCAGAACTGGTTTGTGGTAAGGAGTCTGAGGTGTGTAAGTCCCACAGCTGGTATGAGCTGTGTGCTAAATGCAGTCCCAGCCCCAGAGGGAGGCTGATGGGCTCTGCTCATTGCTGTCCCCAGCCCGCTGCTCCCCCGTGGATCTGCTCTGGATTCGGGCTGTCGGTGCTGGAGCGCCCTGCTCCCTGCAGGGCCCTGCCCCTAACCCACGCAGAGAGAGAGAGCCCTGCTGGCCAGAGTGATCTTTTTTCATTTTTTCTCCCTGTGCTGTTAGCAAGGAAGGGATGGGACTGCTCTTGGGCCGGGAGCACTCAGTGCTCAGGTGAGCACCCGCCTGGGAGCGTGAGGGTTTGCAGAGCGAGCAGCTGCTGCGGCCCAGGAGCAGCCACAAGTTCTGTGTTCCAAGGCAGGCCAGAACTTTCTAATCCCGGGGTTTATTTGGCTTTTGGAACCCAGCACCTCTGCTCAGTTCTGCCGCACTGAGGGTACTTTTGTTCAATGCCTTCTGCTGGAACTTGTCAGCTCTCAGTGTAGCGCACACAGCCCCAGCCCTGCCCTGCAAACCCTTCCCCATCGTGCCCACACAGATTCTCTCTCACTCACTCGGGGCAGGCTCCTACTGACAGCCACAGAAACAGAAGTTATTTTATTTTATGTTATTCTTTTCCTGCTTAATGCCCGTGTCTTGTATTGGTACATCAATCCCAGCTTCTCCCGAGGCTGCAGATCAAATCTTTCAGTGTCTGTGGGAGTTTCTGGTTTTCCCATTCCCATGTCTCCCCTCTCTCTCTGTATGAAAAAAATTTTATTAGTTATTCTTATTTTTGATATTTCTTAAAGTTGTACATTTTTATAAGTACATTTTATGTGATTAGATAAATTTATAAATTTTATTAAATTTTTATATTTATGTTTGTGTGTTAATAAAAGAAAATTTATTGTTGTTTTTTTGTAAAACTGCATACTTAATATTTTTACATTTGTTAAAATGTTATTTATTATAAGGGATGTAGAATTAGATTGTTTATTTAGATAATATTTTAACTGATTTAATTGTTTTAGTGTTGTTGTTGAAGTAATAGGTGGTATAAAAAGTGATGCTACCATTTTTAAGTTTCAAGGCTTAAAATTACTTTTCTATTTTGATTACTATTGATGGATAAATGACTTCTTTGTTTTAAATTGTTAACTATTTTTATATAAGGGCTTTTTAATTA